AATTGGATTCAGTGTTTCTAGTAGGTACTTGTACACCGAGGTTTACACGCAATTCTGTATTGTTTTATGTAGGTACCTATACATATATTTAAAAATAATCGGACATACTTCGTACGATGGGTGGGTCACTGTTGTAGGGTGGGAAGGTCGAGGGGAAATTTAATTTATATCTGTACGCAACGATTAACCATTGCTAATGAAAAACGATTCTGAGCGGAGTTTGGTTAAAGAAAAACAAATTCCTTCTTTTTTAAGAACGCTCTTCAATTTGAAGCTTAAACTTTGCTAACCATGAAGCTCAATTATTTTGTATTTATATCTATATTTTACTAATTTGTTATATTGTTTTTATGCCTATTTCCAGTTGTCAATAACTATATACAATTCTGTAATGTTTCGTTAAAGGGTTTATGACCGTTGATTATCATAAATAAATAAAATTAAATATGCAATGATAGAGCATCACAAACGAAAAACGGTTCTACGTGAGAACTTTGTTGACAAATTTGTCAATTAATTTAAATTGCAGTATAACTTATTGTAACTGAAAAATAAATTTTAACTATGGGTGTTTTTAATGCATTTCAACATGAACCCTGACAAAAATAAATTCAATCAATATAAAAATATTCATAAAAACTTTTTGTAGCATTTTTAATTAAGGACGTCTTTTAAACCGACTTTCCGAATCGCCGGTAATATGTTCTATAACTTTGAGACTTACTCCAATCGAAAACTTAACAGAAACCCGTTTTGGGCGTTAAAAAAAAAAAAACAAAACACAACAAAAAACGAGTAAAATATGTGTGAATATAGGTACCACTTTAATGTTCAAAACTTCCTGCGCTTTGGTTTTTTATAATCGTCACCTATGTAACTATTGTTCACGATCATTCGAGGCAATCGGTCTTCGTTTAGTTAACACTGTACGGGCGTGCCGTACCGCCGTCGTAATCCGGCTTTGAGTATACTCGAGGCGGTATACTCGGGCGTCGAATAAATAAATGGATACGTATGTACGTTTTCAGCGCGATTTCCGTTTCAGACAATTATACATCGCGGAGTCGGAAATAATATTGTGACCGAGTCGCGACGGAGGGAGGAGATAATACTCGTGCGAGTATCACAGTGAATAAACGAGGAAACGATGGAACCGTCGTCGTCGTGTTTACTGCAGTTGTGCGTGCGATCGCGTCTGCATGCGTACATAGTGTTCGCGTTTTGCCGACACGTGAAAAAAAAAGAGCGAAATTCGCGGCCGTTCTGGTTTCACAAAAAGCGGCTATTCATCAGTTCGCGGCACGTAAATTAGCTGTTCACCAGCTCGCGTGCGTACGGTATATTATGCGCACTGCACGCGTCGTACGGGCGGCGGCGGCGGCGGCGACTCGGCAAAGAGATCAGCTCTCGATCCGAGTCGGGTCGGCCGCTCTCGGTCCTTTAGCAGCTCGGAAAGACCGAAACGATAACGATCGCCGCCCTTTTTACCTTCTTCATCTGCTTTTTCTCCTGTCTATTCTCCTTGCAATTATTACCTCGAGAGCTTTCACCGCGCGAGCGGCCGACAACCGCGGGCATACAATACGAATCTAGATACATTTTCGTTTTTTTTTTTTTCATTTCTTTAAACCAGATCGAAATCCGCGCGCTAATAGTAATTCGTCCGAAATCAATAATATTATGGAATTTCACCCGCACCTACGTTGCGTATAGTGTTTCTGGACGCGTCGCGGACAACACGGGCTGGATAAGCAAAACGAATCTTCCCGAAAAATTACACGTACTACCCAAAGTTTCGCCGTTATCTCTTCCGTACGGAATCTGGACATTTTTTCCAGAACCACAAAGGATACAATAACTACCTTACAAATATATCAACCTAAAATAAAAACCTATAACCTACCTGTAGTCGGTCCAAACCCGATAATGCTCCAAGGAAGTTAGTGTGTACCTATACCAAGGTACTGATAATACTGTAAACCTAAACCCCGGGCCAATGAAAACCATAACGGGTTTTGATAACGTAGAGAAGAAAATGGAAAAGCCATATAGGATGAGTCACAGATATCGGTCACGGCATTCTATATGTAGGTGTAGCTCAAAATGGTAAAACCGATCGGGTTTTGGGTGTCTTCGGATTCAATTCTCTTCGTATACGCCCGATACGGAGAAAAAATCATTGAACATAATCTCACACATATCGGAACTGAAGTACAAATAATAAACCCTGATTTTTCATGCGAAACCACGTCGGGTAGGTCGTGGAGGAAAAATGGTTTTTCTTCTCCCGTGGATTTCCACAAAGAATATATTTTTCCTCTGCGTGAAACTAAATGAACAATTAATTATACATGTATAAAATAATAAAACTAAAATGTATAGTTAAACAATGTTTTTCGTCACACTTTTACTGTGTTCAAATAATAAATAAATTAATTAAATTCACCAGAAATAAAATCGGCAGCGCAGAAACTGTTGAGTTTGATAAACGGACAACAAAATACGATCTAATAAGACAATTTTTTTTTTTTGCCTACTACGATTGTAGTAATTGTAATTGTATAAAGATTCTAACAAATTCGAAATTTAAATCGGCGGTCGATCTCGATCCCGACCGTTTCCACCCCCACCCCCCCATCCCCCGCGGCATATATTTTAATATAACAATCGACCGGGTGTATTTACAACGGTTTTAAAAAAAAAAAACTCGACTATATACCAGAGGCGACCAAACGGTCGATCTCGGACGATTTCAAAGTCGATCATGTTAGAATTTATTTTTAAGCCACTCGCACGAAAATTAACCGTGGTCGTAGATAACAATATTGTCTATACACTTGATTTATATAATTTTTATCTTTTATTCTGATTTCGTGTGTCAGATGTTTATTGTTCACGCAGTCATTTCTACTTTCTAGTTCTGCAGTAATTCAGTTTCACTGTGTTAATTCGGTTTCCGTTGTATTGAATTTGTAATAACGCGTAACTATTTAAGTTCTATAAAATTTATAAGTATGAGTGTGCACAAGAAAGCGAAAAATGAAAGAAAAAAAAAACAATTTTTTTACGGAAATCGATCCTCAAAGGTGAAGTATATTTTTTCAGAAGATCTGAGCCGAAAAAATGTTGGTCACCCCTGCATTATTCATTGCATCGACCCGATGTACAGTGTCGATTCGATACGGCGCCGAAGCCGGTACGTAAAATCGATTACAAGATGATTTTTCGACTTTCGCCGACCAAATCATTATTGCGTCGTCGTCGGCTACTGCAGCAGCCGCGCGCACGTACGTAGTAGCTAATAATAATGATAATAATAATAATAATAATAATAATAATATTATCATTATTATTATGTATAGCGGGCCCCCCCGCGCGCGTATCACTGGGAGCCGATGGCGGCCGCGGCTTTACGTGTGTGTAATCCGTGGCCACAGCGGCGGCGGCAATCCCTAACGAGCGTCACGTACCATCTGATTCCGTCTTCTTTCATATGCACCGCCGTCGCGCCGGGGCAGGTATTTCGGTGCACTTTAAACGAGTCTGATTAAATTACGGGAATCCTCACGACCCGACGCCGCCGCCGCCGCCGCCGCCGCTGCTTTTATTATTAGTTAAGGGCATCGCAGGACGAAGGCGCTCGTTTCTCTTATTCGCAAACCTTATCGTGCGCGCGTACGCACGTTATGATATTATTATTATTACTATTAGGTATAATACAGTGTACACAATTCATAATAATATAATAATGTTATGTAGGCAGGTAGGTAGATGTGTAGGTATACTTCATAAATATGTAAAACGAGCCTGCGAAAATGAGTTCAACGCGTCGTGCAACGTCCACGTCTACGCAAACTCAATGGGTGTATTCCTGTTCTGTGTCAAATAATCATAGCTGTTACGCTGAATTCGTGGAGCTATATAATTATTAATGATTGGAGTGGCGACGTTTTAAGCCCGTCCAATTTGCCGCTCGAAAAATATAAATTATAACGAATCAAGGGTAAACCAAGTGTCTTGAACTTTTCGTAAATTCTCTACACGTACCATGTTGTGCATACCGACTTAAATTTATTTTAAAATTGTCAATTTTAATAAAAAAATATATTATTGTTTAAATTAATATTTAAAACATCGAAAAATATTAACGACAACTACATACTATCGTTAAATTGTATACGGTTAAATTTTCTATTTTTTTTTTTTAATTTAGTCGTTTATCGAATGACATATTAAATATGAAATCGAACTACAATAAAATTTTCAAAGAAAACTAAACGCGTAATAGAAGACTTGGAATCAATAACGGGCTATGTCTCGATTGAGTTTTGCCAGTTAATTTTGAGTTATTTATCCGTTATAACCTCACCAGCGGTCTCCTAACAATAGCTCTCACGTCATTTTGTTAAGCCTTATACACACAACTATTGCGGTTGTGGCACATAACGCTCTTTATAGGTTATTGGCGAGGTTTATAGCTGAGTTTTTCAGGTTTTAATGAATGTTTTTTTTTTTTTTTTTTGCTTTGGCACTTTGCATGTTATTGATTTCAATTCGTTCAATATAACTAACGTTTAATTTTAAATTCAAAAATTTTACTCATAATCGGTTTTTTTTTCAATGTTTTTTTCAATTCCAGTAGAAATAAAGAAATAAACCGTGTTTCTTTTTTTTTTTTTTTTTTTATGTTTAATTGGCATTGCATCGCGTAATATTAATGGGTTTATTTTTATTTTTTATATAACTGATCAATTACGATTGTATTTTGTACTTTTTAACTTAATTTTTACTTTCAACATGTACAAACAAAATATAAAAAAAATATATAATAAAGGTAAAAATAATTTTTCCATTAGGATAATAACAGCGTATAATATAATATTATAACAGTATATTGCTGTACTTTACGATATCGCTGTAGATCTAAAAAAAAAAAAACTAGCGACTACGTATCATGCATTAGTGCGGGTCGCTTTCGTGACAACGGCGATGTGGGAAAAATGCGAATTTCTATGTGTCATCAGTCCTTTGATATACTGTTACCCGCTAACACGACAAACATGATGCATACTGTACGGAAGAAACCCATCATAAACAATGCGCAAACTTACGTTTGGTGGGGACCTTTCAAGTCCGGTTTGATATACCTCAAGGAGTTCTCCGAAACGACTACCCTGCACGGTATACGACACATCGGCCTGTCTAACAGGCATTTAATAGAAATGTGAGTACGATGAAAAAAAAAAAAGACGCGAATAATTTATTATATTATACCTTACAAAGACGGGCCAAACTAGCGGTTTTTTTTAATCTTGTTTAAATTATATAGTCACAAAGAAAAATATAATTAAACTAAGTTAAAATTAATTTTAAAATATAATTGATCTTGAATAGGTAGCCAAATTGAGCTACAAAAATGTTCAGGAAATATACAGCTTAAGTTATGTTAGAATTTAAAAGTTATTACTTTAGTACATTGATGAAAACTAAATTTAATTTAACTATCGTAATTGAAACATTTAAGAATGTCGTAGGATGTCGTAGCTCCCAGATCGCATGGAAAATTGGATTTATACCTTGACTCGTGTATAGACTCGCTGCTATATTAGACTTATGAACACAAAATATTCGTAAATAATTTTTAGAAATTACGTAATTTTAAACAAAATAACTGTTTGTTTTTTTTTTTTTAACTGAACAAGTTAAAATTCGCTTATAACTTAACTTTTTAACGAGCTATACTGCACAGCTTTGAAAAATTATGTATAAACTACGTTATTCAAAATTATTGTACAACGATAGTTACTTATTATTTATCTAATATTACTCGAGTTTAAAATACTCATATTATCTTATACATGGTGTCCTACAATATATTATACGTATTCGTTGCTAATAACTCTGTCAATGTGCATTACCTTTTTTTTTCAATCAAATTTATGCCAGGCTATTACTAAGAAACTATTATATTTATCGGATATATGAATGTATGATACATTTAAATTTTAAAATAATATATTTTACAAAATGACTGTTTTGCAAATATAAAAAATTTAAAAAATTAAGTTATTTTTTTCGGTGATTAAGGGATGAGAATAAAAATTTAATTTTTCTCCGCATTTGTGTTTTCCTGGCACAACGCCCGATTGAAAAATAAATTATTCCAAAAATTAATATTTACAGACTTATTAACATTAGAATCATAACACAACAGGACACTCTCTGTATGTTTGATAAAATCGTTTTACATAGCGTTCTGTGGATTCTATTCGAAATTATGGTAATATACGGATCATATAACTTGATGTATGGCAGTTGGATACGATATAACGAAAACCCTACTGTTATAACCGTAGAAAAAGACTATCGCCAGTGGTATCTTCAATTCCCGAGCGCCACGTTCTGTTACGTAGATCCCGTGGACATAAATTTGGCTGAAAATTATATAAAACGGTAAGTACTGTAATACTTTAAAACATTTTATTAGGCACCTGTCTGATTTATTGGTATATTTCAATTGATATTTCGTATAATATACAATATAATTATATATATATATATATATATTGATGTATGTATTTATAGTAAATGGAAAGTAAATTCTAACGAAACTTTCAACTACTATATGGATTTTATAAAAACATTGACCGAAACGACATATAAAAATTTGGAAAATTTAGCCGCTTACGTTAACAATACTGAATTGATAAATATCAATATAATCGACATGATATTAAAGGTAATATAGATGATAGGTAAAATTTAAATTTAAATATCTAAACAAATAATTATAGAACAATTATTTTATGAACAATAGCATGCATTAAGTACATTTTCACGTCTTCGTACTCCATAATTATAATATATAATTGCAAATTTCGTACATTTAAAAAATTAAGGGGAACAATTTTTGAATAGATTATTTTGCTGTTTTTTTCAAACGTCGTAATGTAATTTTAAAATAGATACTATCAAAAATTCAAAAAATCAAGTATTGCGTTTTTTTTTAAACTTATTTATTTATGGTTGTTTCAAATGTGTTTTTTAACTATTGCAGAGAATTTACACACAACAATTTCGAATTTAATCGAAATACTAAATTACTAGTTTTCATAAATTAGTAGATATATTATTGAATATTATGACGCATTCAATGACGTGGCAAACACTTATTTAAAAAATGATTGTCTCTGAGATTTTTGGAAGACTTAGGGGCGAATGTCTAATCTTTATTTCACACAATAATTGTTTAAATATAAAAATTATTTTAAATTATAATATTATTGAATATTTTCTATTAATAAGTAATAATAATAAATAATATTATGTGTTCACTATTATTGGTTAAGTGATCACAGTTTAACCAACAAACTCGTATCTTGTCTACTGTGGCTGAGACAGTGAAACGTGAATACTGATCATTTTACAAATTTATGGAGGTCCATTCATGGATGGATTCGGATGTGCCTCAAGCTACACCATAATTACACTTTGTTTTTCTATTTGGAATTAGCATTGCTATCCCCGACCATATTAACACCTAAGAGCTTTAAAAAAAATTCAAGAAGTATGTTTTTTTGTAACTATTGAATAAGATGAAATGAGTGAGTGGTCCACCAAAATATTGCTTCTCAAAAATATAATTGAATTCACCACGCCACTGATAATCATCAAATTCATAATATTATTTGAATAGACATTTTTTTTTTTATTTACACCAAGATTTGCGTTTAGCTATACCTAATTATCTTATACATATAGGTACACGCTGAACCTCGTTTTAGAACGACAATATTCAACAATGACTATGAAAATGTCACTTTTCATTCTGTGCTCACTGAAATGGGTATCTGTTACACTTTCAGTGGAAATATTAGCGATTATTTAACACCAAAGTAAGTTACTATCTATATGTAGAAGTCAAGAATAACAACTTAAATTATCTTCTTACTTCAACATTTACCGAATTTCTATTTAGGCATTAGAATAAAATAAAATATATTTCAATTTAATTAGATTTGATTTGCTTGATAATATGATTACAGCAGTAAACTTCTAAGGAAATTATATTCTAAGTCACCAACTTGTAACTTTCTCAATTCATTATGTTACGCAAGAGCAGAAAACCTACCCAGGATTGTTTCGGTAATTATAATTATTTTATTCGAATTGTATGATAATATTATTACGAACGGCGAAGTCGTGAAGTGTCAAATAATAAACCGCAGTCTTTTTCGGAATAATGACAACTTTTTCGAATTCCGACCGGATGAATTATTGATATAAGTTATAATGAAAACAAAAAAACATTAATAGCGATGAGTAAATCGACATTGTATAATCTTTTGGAGTTTTGGACGGCACAGTGGCGGCTGAACCTGAATGAGAATTAGATACCGTTGGCTGAACAAAGCCGAGGCTGAGTGTGCTTTTTTTTTTAACCTAAATATCATAACAGTGTATTGCATTTGAACCGTTACAGTATTATGTCCATTATGCAAAGGAAATACCAGACATATCGGACAAATATTATTCAGTATATGAAAACATGGAACGGGACACGACATTCACGTTTTGGGAGGTGACATCGGCACCCGAAGTGAAAAGGCTGAGTCCGTCGCAACGTCGATGCCGTTTTATGAACGAGCCATTGGACAACACAATACCCGTTTACAGTTACAATGTGTGCAGGATGATCTGCAGAAGAAAACTGGCTCTAAAACTGTGCGGATGCATTCCGCACTTTTACCCTTATCCAGGTACATATAATATATAAAGATGGTATACAAATATCATGTTGATCAGTATACTATTTTGGATTATATTAATTAATTTAAATCAATAAACTTACAAAAAAACGTCAAAATATATTTAAAGCGGAATGCCTAATTTGAGCAACACAATCTTTGTTCTGGTAATAATTGGTTATAAAATTACTGCTTGGCTAACGGCACATGACTTAAAATCATTTTTTTTTTTGTCATTTCGTGATGAAATTATCGAGAGAATTATCAGGAGTTAATTTTTTATTTATTTTTTCAATTACTGTATTCACCTCGACTTTTACAAATAGACATTTGTACATGATGAAATCCGATACCAACACTAACTACAAATTCAAACTATAGTTTAAATTCATTAACATCATAGATCACAGTTTAAATTTTACATTTGACTTTATTATTGTAGTTATAAACTTAAAATATATAAATAGTAAATTATTCGAGTAATTTGTTGTGATTTTAAGTCATAAAATCATTTTTAACAGCAACTAGTATTTGTTGTAAGTTTTTCTTAGAGGATTATTAACCAAACACTAATTTATTATAACAATAAAGCTTATTTTAATTTAAGAATTCAGTTTTTTTTTTTTCATAGACTAAAAATAATACCCGTTTCTTTTTTATTACAGTACATTGTATACGTATACAATGGCAACGTGTACTTGTATTATTCTATTTTAGGTAAAGCGAAAATTTGCAATATCAAAGGGCTGTACTGTTTATCGTCGCATAATGAAACCCTGATCAGCTTGGAAAATAAAAAATATATGCCAAAAAAATGCGATTGTCCGATGCCGTGTGAGGACGTTCGAATGTTTCTGGACAGGGATTCTAAAAGGACATGGTAAAACAACTGCAGTCAAATAAAATTAAATAAAAAACCACTTACATAATACAAATATAACAAATTCATAAATACCCGTTTTTTCACATAATATTATTAACCACCCAGTTATATTACTATGATTGGTAGGGCGTATCCAGTGCCGTGGGACATCCGATTCCGTTGGGCCGTTGACAAATATAGCAAGACGCGATTACGCCTAGACGTTATCTACAGCTTTGAAGATTTATTGGGTCAGTAAAATCATATGTGTTTATTATTATTATCTTTTTTTTTTCACAACGAATAAACTCTTTCATTGTTACCTTGAACAAGTCAATCATCAATAACATATATTATACCAATTCGAACAAGACGTTATTATCAAAAGACAAAAATCGAAAAACAAAAATATAGGAAAGAAGTGAAAATATTTTTCCCATGTGATTTCGCATAACAAATCGAAGGTTCTTGTCGATTAAGTTCCGGTACGAGCTCGTGAATGAAAGCGGCTTAAGACCCCGGACGAATTTTTATTGAAATATTTGAGGTTATTAGACGGGCTAGACCCATTCTGACACAATAAATGCATGCAATACTAGTGCACGAAACTATGTGCAAAAATAATATTAAGTATCGTATGTTAAAATATTTACTCATGTTATTCAAGTTATCCGTATTCAAAAATCGTATTCAATCATATTATGGATTTTAATTTTTTTTTTTTTTTTACATAAAAACAAAAAATCAATTTTCGAAAATAATAATTAATACTCGCAAATTAATTTCATTCTAATAACTATTCATTTCGTTAAATATTATCCAATTAATATAAACAAACAAACCGTATATGTTTTATAATTATAATTACACGGTCGTGATAAGTACAAAATATATGTTACTGTCAAAGTTGTCTCGAGATTTACTGTACAGTGGTATATTCTGTTCAGGATATGTAAACAAGTATAGTATCTAATTACGTATTCATAGAAAAGTAATAATGTTGTTAATATGTTTGCAATTTATAGAACTTAAAACGACACAACGATTTAAATTACAAAATCAATTGGCCATTTTAATTTACTCGGTATAATTCAAAAAATCGTTTGCTTTTTACCTATATAGGTAATATAATATTATACACGATAAAATTAATAAATTTTGTTTTCCTCTTTTGAATAGTTATAAAATATTTTAATATCAATGGAAAGCATTGGCAATGGGTATATATATATATATATATAATATTATGATATTTATAATAATGAAAATAATTCGAAAACTATATTATATTTTGCTTTTCCCCCCCGAGATGAAATCGCGACCACCAAAGACGTTCTTAACGTAAGCATACAGATTATTTACAAAAAAAAAAAAAAAAAAATGAATAAATAAAAAGAAAGCCGCGATTCAAAACAGCCTCCCCGCGGTTTTACTATATTATAACCCATAGTAACTATACACAGACACACCGTGTAGACTCCGTATTATTATTATATTATACTACATTTCGTGGCGTGATTTATATTAAGTTTACAAAAAAAAAAAAAAATAAATAAATAAATAAAAAGTATTTTAAATTGTTCCGTCTATATACACCGTCCGAGTCAATATGTATAATATACGATACGGGTACGTCTTGTGTTTGTTTGAAATATAGCAAAAAAGGTTAATAATATAATATTTTATATTTAACGAAGAAAACGTTTAACGAGAGACTTTTATAATACAAAATATATATGTATTTATATATATATATATATATATACGTATATATTATACAAATATTGTGTGCTTACGTCGGTACCTAACGTATAAGGTTTTCGTAATTTATACTCCCGGGACTGTAGCTGTATAGGTACAGGTATAAACCACGGTTATCGCGTATAGATAACCGTGGTATAGTTGACCAGGACAAATTATTCCGATAGTCGCACGTGTATACGTATAATCGCATTTGTTGCATCGATTACATCGGTAGTTAACATTTTTATAACTGTATTATTGGACTAGCGATTGTGCGGTATAATTTTTTTTATACATAAAATACATATATTAGGTACACGTTATCCTACACATTTCGTGTATGTAGCAGGTATCCTATTTATATATATATAAACGCCGAGAGCATTAAACTATTGAAAAACAATACATTTAAATACAATGCTTACATATTAGGTATATATATGTGTGTGTGTATACTATACTGTACCTATATATATATACACTCGTGGCTATAAATTTGCAATTTACATAGGGCGATCGATTTATTCCCATATACTGTGTACACGGCTACCGTCGTGAATTACGATCGCTTGAATTTAGAGAACCGTAACTACCGCACGACTATAAATTCTCGGGTACTACATCAGCATTGGGTACCCACCAAAGAAAACTCTATCCGCGGTAAAATTCCATTAAATAGTATTAGATTTGTAAATATTCTTAATATACATGTTATAATATTATTAAACATGTATATCGTGTCATTTTAGCAGCAGTAATAACATGGGCGTAACTTGAACAATTTGTATGGGGGGGGGGAGTCAATGTTTATTTCATTTCAGCATACCTAAAGACTTTAAAATATGATGATTACAACATTTATATATATATATATAATCAATGATTATAATACAATTAAATATGTATGTCAATTTAAGTCAATTCAACTTCTTTCTCTTTGTGTGTTGAGTCTGCATTGAACTGGTTAATGAATGTATATTGAAATTAATTTTACAAGTTTTTCCAATATGTGAAATATAGACTTTAGGTTCGGTAGTTTGGTTCCCCCGTATAGTACCACTCGAGTGGTCCATCATTAAGTACGATAGTATTATCAACGAACAATATAGAAGCGACACTTCAACAAATCAGCGATTTTACTTCGATTTTTATATGTAGCGCCTTTTCTGAAAGTAAATCGGTGTGGAATGGTACTTTAAGGAGATAATTTTTTGATTTTCTCAAGAATTTTCCCAGTAAACGTGAAAAAGTAGAAAAAAAAACACGGGAAAACCGGGAATAACGTAGAAAGAACGGGAAATATTATCAAAGAAAATATATATTGCCTATTTAATTATTTGATCATAATATGACATATATATATATTGTAGACGAAGCATCACTATCAACTGAACTCTGCTCAGAATCGCGTTTTCGTTAGCAATGGTTAATCGTTGCTTACAGGTGTACATTAAATTACTTTTTATAGTGGCTGTATCCACTCCATTATCCTAGGATAGCTTTTTAATAATAAAATATAAAAATGTGAAACATACAAAAATCGATATGTTAAAGTAGGTAATATAAAATTATATGTAATATTCCTGCGTAATACGATTTCCCGTTTAATACGCTATTTTTAACTGATCCCTAGGAGAGCGTCTTAAACAGATTCTACTGTGTCATAATTTATAATATTAACTATTTTATTGTTGCAGTTTCCCTCGGCGGCACGGCGTCATTTTTCCTCGGTTCCAGTGTTTTGTCCTTCATCGAAATCGGATACTATTTTACGTTGAGACTATTCTGGTTCATTAAAACCGGCACGTCGCACACCGATTAACTGAAACTGTCATTTTATTGCATATTTGTCGAGAACAGTATAATATTATTATTATCTACAAGGGCTTTAAATATTTATCATTATTTTTCACCTGTAAATGCAAATAATATTCTTCTTTAAATAATACAACATTACTATTTCGAATTAAAAAATAAAAATCGCCCGTGAAATTAGAAATAACATGTATACGGTAGTTTCTCATGGCTGTTTACTTTTAGTATATTTTACTATACTTGTAATATATAGTTTATGTTTTAGTAACGAGAGTAGCGTTATGTCAACTCTATCGGCCATTACCAAAAAAACTCTCAAAATGTATATCCAATTATAAAACGCCTACATAAGTAATATAGAATATACCTACAATATTGATTATGTATTATGTAAAATTATAATTATCAACGTAGCGACACATTGATGTGAAAAAAAAAGAAAAAGAAGAGATACGATATTATTGAAATAAGGTGTTTGAGACGAATGAAAAAGATAGATTTGATCGAGATGAAAACAAATAAAGAGGTACTTAGTATAATTGTCCAAGAATAGCGTATATTCGTGAATGCATGTAATTGGCACAAGACCGTTATTTAGAAAATGGTCGGAAATGTAATGAAACACCCAGAAGAGTTGTATGACAAACACGATGTTAAAGAAAATATGAATGAAGAAAGTCAACATATTATGAAGGAGGTTATTAGATTTTTAGTATAAATAAATTAAACAATGTTACTTACCTATACCCAGAATTCGGTATTCGATTTTAATGATAATTTTAGGTTATAGATTTAATTACTTACACGTAAATACTAATCAAATTACTTACAAAATTATATACATTATTAAAAGCTGAGCTTTTTAAATGGGCACATTTATACAATAAGACACGAATTCCAAATTTCACGCCCCTAGGCTAAATCCTAAATACGCTACTAAATCAGTTATAACTAGAGTTTGGTTAACATATAACATTGAACTGACTAATCTTGTTCGTATTACCTGTTTTAATAACGAGTACACATATAAGGATAAACTAGAACATTATTACAAAAATATTGAATAAAAGTAAATAATACGATATTACTTATTTCTTAAAATATAATATTGTGTTGACATTGTAGTATTCATGTACGTGTACTAAAACGATGTTTTTCACCTTTTACGATCCTCCTAATTTTTTTTTTTTTCATGTAAGACGATCCCTTCAAAAATAGCTTAATAAAACTTGAAAACTACGATACACAGTATATTTACTAGGTACTTATGGTTTTTGGTGACACCCAACTATCACTCGCGACCCCTTTGTGGATCACGAACCCCCAGGTTGAAAATCACTTTATTGAATTACGGATTTGAAATAATATTTAATAATAACATAAAATCTCATATGACCTTGATTTGATTGTAGATTTAGTCGATTGAGTGGATTTAATATCTGATTATTATTAACTCTATGCTGTGGCTAAAACCTAAACATATATATATGTATGTTTGAGATTCTTCTGATGCGAAGCCTTGAATAAAATATCCGTTCTGTCCTGCCTTCTGCCGGCGATGACAGAACTAACAGTAAAGCATTGGTAAAAGCTCAAATAAATTGTATAATATTATTACTAGTGCCTATATATGGAGCCTATTTTAAATAATATTTAAATACGGGAAAAAATTCTAACCATTTTCACAATTTCTACTGATTACCTACTTATTTACTCAACTTATAATAGTGAATGTCTTAAAATATTTTAGCGATTTTTTTGACCTATTTTAAGGCATTTTCAAGGTTTCTTGAATTTTTTATTTGGATAAAATTGTTTCGGTTTAACTGAAATGCTTAAAAACTATAGGTTCATTGAATAAATTGTACCTACTTAGTGATAAAAAATAATTTTTGATAATTTTCACTAAAGTCACAGAATTTCACAATATGTTTAACCGAACTTTGCCGAATGATTTATCGGACAGATGAACTCTAAGTAGCTATATATTACAGCATACTTTACCAATTTGCTATCTACAACAGTGGCAGACCCGTGACCAGTATCAGATTTTTTTTAAAAAACTTATTATGAACCCCGTGTCAATTTTTCGTGCGAAAAATATTATTCGAAATTCAAATAAACCGGAGAATAATCCGCGAAATATCTATGCCTGTCGCCGGACGTCTTTTACTTTCCAACCGTGAACGACGACGACAAATTCCCACGTCCGGGCAACACTGTACGTCCAATGGTCGGCGCTTAGATCAATGTTTATGTCATATATGATCCAAGGTCGGGCGCGTGCGCGTTATCTACAAGTGGATATGTGGAGTTTGGTCGTTTGGACAAGTGGATGACACGGCCGTGACAACAACGTCATATTATGCGTACTTTTCGCTATACATATTATTTTTTTGTTTACAATTTTTTTATTACAACCCGCTAACTGTTGCTCACTGAACTAAATACATGACGTGATGCGTATTACGAGTAATATTATCGTGTAAAATGTGTCTATGCACGCGCCGCCATATTCCAAATCCGTTTTGATTTTTCACATTTGTTACTAACTTCAGCTGGTAACAAAATCATTATCTTTTTTTCGGAGTTAACATTAGTGATATAAACTATAAAATATAAATATTTACGTCTGCCGCTGTTCGGAATTGACCAGTACTTTTACTATACTATTTTTACCACACTTTTCTCTGCGAGCAGTTTTCCGTCGGGGTTATAGTGTTTTAATTAATAGTCAATATTATACTCATTCCATGACCCATGTCCCATGTAGTAAGTTCAGTGCTGTAAGCTTCATCAACCGTTCGTTTTTGTTGGCATCGCGTATATTGGGTTATCGATTGAGAACCTACCCGTTCGTGTTTGACGTTGTTTACCTACCACTAGCGCGGCGATCGATCGTGAGTTTGAGTCGCCGAGTTCATCAGGTCTCCCTGTAAAACATTCCGGCTGTCAACACCGCGGTACTGCATCATATTTGAAACATGGCCGAATGTCTGAAAGGATCCGCGGACAAAAGAACGTCTGATGACGAAGAGGAAGGTAAACGTTAAATAGACACCTATATTAATAATATTGTTACTGGCTTAAATACCTAGACGAATGCATTTTATCATCCACGAATTTTGACTTCTTTTCGTATCAAATGTGAAAATGAATAAGAATTTCTCGGAGGGACTTAAGATACTTAGATAATAACCTAGTAAAACTGTAAAACTTATTAACAAAAATGTTAAACGAATTTGTTTAATGTAAAATATCAAAACAAAAACCTAGATGCAGTATTATATTCTTTTTGATGAATGATAAAATAAAAATACTTGCATTGAAATTTGATGATAACTTGATTTATATTGGCTCAAATGGTGTTGAAACAATTTCGGGGTGACTCAAGTAAAACAAATATTGTTTGTATACATACATTTTTTTGATGTGATTGGGGGGGGGGGGTTAAGAATACCCAAGGATGTGCTCATATAATTTAAAATTGATAAAAACTTGTATGAGTTAGTAAAATGTAATTGTGTTCCTTTAGAGATTCCTTATTATAATAGGTATATACCATAGATATTTGTTGGCATTCTCTAAAGATTAATTTATGTACTGTTTAGTTGAATTTTCAGAAGATTCGCATTTGTCTGTTGAAGCAACAAACACTGATGATGAAGAAATGCCAAAGCACGAGAAACAAAATAAAAACAAGAAAAACGGTTGGTTATCGACAAACATTTTGCTTTTGTGTTTATAGATGTTATTTTATTACAGAAAATAAAACTGAAAAGTCTAAAAGTGAAGACGACGAGCCGAAAAGTGAAACCATTGAATGCCCCATATGCTTGGGACCAGCAGTGTTCCCAATACAAATTCCATGTGGACATGTTTTTTGTTTCCTGTGCATTAAAGGTGCTGCACAACAATCAAATATTTGTCCAATGTGTCGTCAGGCAGTACCTCGTAATTTTTATAAAAAGCCTATTTTTCTCGAATACCCGGGACACGATCAGGAAGAAGATTTTCACTATGATGGTTACCAATGGTTTTACGAATGTAGAAGTGGTGGTATGTGTATTATAGTTTTCATACAGGCTGTGCCACGAAGATATACCCCTTAAATATCTCCTTCGATAATAAAGATAATCAAATTCTGTTTTTTTTTATTACTCACAGGAATGAGAACTACAAATATTTATATTTGAATTAAGAATTTAAAAATAACTTTATTTTATTATTTTTCTGAAAATTTCAATGTACCACACATTTATATCCGATAAATATTTTCTAAGTAACAGCAGTTTTAAATTCTACTAACTCATGTAAACACTGATGTTATTGCGTAATACGGTAAAGTTATTCCCTAGATAACATTAATTTTCACATGGATTAGTAAAATTTAAAAGGCTTTTTTTACTTCTGTTACTATATTTGATTATCTTTATTATCTTTGAAGATATTCAAGGGGTATATCTTTGTGGGACAGCCTGTGTAACACTACATCTTTAATACTGTGTTATGTTATGTTCTTTATTTCAGGCTGGTGGCAGTACGAAAAAAGAACTTCTGAAGAAATTGAACAAAACTACCAACTTAACAACAAAAGATTTGATTTGCTTATTTGCGGCACTTTATACACAATTGATCTCGATCTTAATATGCAGTACAATATTGATAACCCAGCCAGGAGAAGAAAATTAAAACGAGAAAATGGCAATAAACTTTTAGTAAAAGGAATTGCTGGTATTCATTAACTACTATAAACATATTATAATTTATACTTTTAATATTTTTAGGAACTAATAATTTTCTCATAGCATTCATTTTTATTGTGGCTTAATGATTATTTTATGCGCTTACTTAGTAATGTTTTAATGTAATATTAACTTTCTAGGCTAGCGGTTCTCAACCTTTTTAGTTAGGCGGACCACCAATTTTGTAAAAAAAACTTTAAGGCCCGCTAAATTAATATGCAGGTAAAAATAAAAACACCTGTATATGTATGTAAGACCAATATATTTATATATATATAATGTGCATACTACACATAGGTCATTAATTAGGAAAATATACCATACAAGAAAATTTTATAAAAATAAAAAGAAGTTTATTATTGTAATCAACTTATAAACTAGTTGTTAAAATTAAATTAAAATCAATGCCATTGTTTTTCTCTCACAAAATAGTCAATGTCGTGATTAAATGTATCGCATCATACCCACACTCCAGCATGATAAAATATTATAAAAATGACTAGTCCAGAATACTAGATAAGAAAACAACAATTAATGCAATTGTACAATAATGATAATAGTCTGATTTTTACTAAATCTCATTCAAAATATAGATGTTTATATTATAATGATATAAATAATATAGAATTTACAAACTCTTGGCTTATACCCTCAATCAGCCCAGTACCCCATTATCCAAGGCCAATGAGTTGGGAACCGCTGTTCTAGACAATATACTTCTATCATTCTTGTTGTAAAATAAATTGTTTGCAAATAACTTAAATTTTATTAACAGACTATAAAAAAAGATTAGGTTATGTATTAAATGTTGTATGTTTTATTATTATTATTACTAGGGTTTGGGACTTGTTGCACTAAAAATGATCTGAATATGCAATCAAAATCATAAAAATATACAAGTAATTTTTATTTTTATTTTTGGAAAAATACATAAAGCATATTATTATAACTATAGAAATAAAAATCTCAAAAAATAGATAGGTTCATAATAAAAATCTTACGAAATCTTAAAATTAACGAACAAACATGCACTGTAACTTTCATTTGTGCATTTTGTAATACAATTTAAAATCTAGAAGTCGTTATAGGTTTTACCACAACTATAAAGACCAGGATAAAGGGGGCCATATTATAAGTTATATCAAATATTTGATGACTTTATTTTTGCCTAATTGTTCCATATTAATAGAATAAGTCTCCTTATTAATATGGATCCTAAGACTCATACAACCCTTAATCCGGGCCTGCAACTAATACAAGATAGATTATTATTAATCGACAAAGATAAAGAGACATGTATCTACGACCTACCTAACCAAAGTAATTTATTAAAAGAAATATTTTTAATTGTTTTCAAAATACGATTTTCCTGACAATTTTATTTAGATTTATAAAAATAAAACAATGGAAAATTAAATAAGTGCACAATTATAATAAAAATTGCTTAATATATATACTTTTCCTGAAATGTTGCAAATTCAAACTTTGTGTTTAATTTCGGCATTTCATAAAAAAAAATTTACAGCTTATCTAAAATAATCTATGACCACTACAAAAAATTATGCAAATGTAAGAAGTCCTTAACCCTAATTATTAGGAATAATTATAAATGCTTAATGGACTTAGATACTGCCTACAGGTTTTCTCTAAAATACATTGTTTTAGTGAAAATATATATTAAAATCTTATATTATGAAAAATATTTAAAAATGCTTTAAACGTTGCATTATAGTAAATCAATTAATTTAAACTATTAAGTAAATTACATAATCATTAGTTTTTAGAAAAAAAAAATGTGCATCTAAAAATAACAAGTTACTCAATCAATTTACAAATATGTATATTGTATTATCAATTTCCTATTGTTATGAAATTTAACTTGAAAATAGTATTGATGTGAAAATTAAATAGTATTTAATGGATTTTTAAGTACTTTTATGTTATTAATAAATTATTTATTCTGTTGTTCTTTTAGTGTAATTTAAATGTTAAATCAATTATTAGAAAATACATATTATATTACAATAATGTTATACTTTTATTCAATAAATATAAAAAAAAAAAGTTGGGACTTAAAACTGTACAGGAATATGGGATAATTAAATTACAATGGCTTTAATATTGTTGATTCTAAATTACTATTGGTATTATCGTCGCTTTTGTATTGTTGATTTGCAATTTCGTTCCAGGGTTGTACATTTCCTGAACCAAATTGCAAAAATATCAAATTTGTAGATATTAGTATGGCAGCAGACAACCAAAACACATCCCTCCATTCTTCCATATTACTCTGTAATTTAATATAATATTTTAAACTTAATTCCATTTAATAAAATATTAATTAAACACATACATTTGGAACCATTATGCCAACAATATAAGGTGCAACAACTCCAGACAAACATCCAATTGTACCCACTATAGCCATCAGTGTTCCTGCATAATTTGGACTAAGGTCTAATGCATTGACTTTTAGACTGGGTACAAAAGTACCCATGAGTCCCATGCCAGCTGTGAAGCTGACTACTGCCCAAACTTTGTCACATTCAGAATATGAAGCTGCGACAATTCCAATTGCTGGGCCTACACTAGCTGAATGGAAAAAAAAAAATTTTGTTTTTATTAATTTAATTTTTTTGGATTAACTATTGTAGGTACCTATGGTTACAAAAGTTTTACGGATGCAAGTTACTGTAAAACAATTGGATTTTGCCATTGAGTCTACTATGAAACCTGAAACCATTGCCACTATCCACATCATTATGTATGGTAAACCAGACAATAATCCGTTCTGCAAAACAATTGTTTTGTTAATCAATGATATTAGTTTATTATTTAAATATGGTATTTATTGTGTAAAAACTAGTATGATAATATGTACCTGTACTACTGAAAACTGTAACACTGATTTCATATACTTGGGCAAATCAGTAATTATGGTAAACAAACCCCAATCATGACCGATTTGAACAATAATCAATCCCCACACTGGTCCTGATAAAAGTATTTGTTTCCAAGGAATTGATAGTTTTCCCTAAAAAGGTAACACATATTAAATAATAAAAAAAGGATTGATGTTCGAAATTTGACCGATATTATCAACAAAATTAATTAATAAATCACGTTTTTATAATTAGAACAAATTTCTCAATTTTACTTCACTAATAAAACCAATATAACAGCAACATATAAATTATACTGGTTTATCAACATAACACAAGACAGTTATTATCTTGGAAAGTATTTACTCTTTGTAATTTGTTTTTAGATCATTTAAGAAATAAATAGCTCTAAAATATTCCATTATGGTTAAATTGTTCTTATTTTTTAAAGGGTTAAAAACCATTACTAATTTTTATTCTTTAAAAAACAACCTATACTAAAGATTCCATAAATAGATTTAATATTAGTTAAAATCAATTTTGCTTAAAATGTCCAATTTCTGTACATCAATTGACAAGATATTCCACTTTTAGGTAATTATGGGGAGAGTGGTGGAACACTATTAACACACAAGTGATGCACCTTTACTATGCCTCCACTGAAACTTAAAAATGGGATATCTCATTAACGTGTAGATGAAAATTAAATATTTTAACAAGAACATTGATTTAAACTAAGACTCCGTCTATTTGTGAACTTGCAGTCTTAATTTAAGTTTAATCTATTTAAGGACTTTTTAATATATGTTGTCAATTAAAAATTAAAATTAAGTTTAGTAGTTTCAACACCCAGAATATGGGTAATAAAAAAAAAGAGTAATGTAACATTTTAGAGCATATTTCTCAAATTTTCTAAAAAAACAAATTACGAAAAAAGTTAATACTTTCTAAGATAAAATCTTTCGTTTTATTGATCATCCTACGTATAGATAGTAGATTCACTTTTGTTTAAATTTTTTAATCCAATACAGAACTTACTTAAATATTATCTTGGATATTTAAAATCTCTTAAGTCTTTATTTATAATATCAAAACCAATGCTACAATTATTTTATAAAACATGACTAGCAAAATTAAAATAAGGAGAAGTTTTATTTTATGACTGAGATATGCTTTTTATAATTAGTCTTAAAGTTTAAACCTGTTTAATTAATATAAAATGTATAACAATTATATTCTAGTTTATATTCACCAGCTTTATCTTTAAAAAGTTTGCCCAGAAGTTTATTATAATTGTCGTATTTAGTAGGGGAAAGTGTTACACAATATATATATTTTTTTATAAGAGTTTTAAAATTAAATTTTGACGAAACTCGTGATTATCACGCATTGGCGTAAATTGACCTAAATTTCTGGTGGTGCAGAGAAATCTTTTAATTTTTAACCCACCAATACTCCATCTTCTTTTATAAATTACCACCTAATAAACAGTTTATTTTTCTGTAGGTACCAAATTTGTTTTTATGAAATTAATATGTTATATGTATTGAATTATTTTAAAAACTTTATTATTACAAAATTTAAAGAAAAACTATAGATAGGTACTTTTAATAAAAATTATAGACTTTTGAAAATATAAACTATAGGTATACACATTTTAATGATTTCCTGGTGGTGCAAGGTGCAACTGCTACATTTGCACCACCCAATTTACGCCACTAATTATTACGGCCTTTCAAACACGTGTAACCAAATTTGGCTCCGAATATTTTTTCGTTAACAATGGTTTATCGTTACGTTTACAGGTATAAATTTAATAAATGTATGTATACCACCATCCTAACTATACCCATCTACAACAGTGTCCACGCACTTCTTCAGTTTCAGCTCTTTTTTTTTTTTTTTAAATATAAATTTATTAATAGAGACAAATTTTCGTACACTTGAAACGCTACCTTTTTTTCGTAATTATATTCAATCCGTGATTCGTACACTTAACGTTGTAATATGTAGCATTTAAACCCATGACACGCTAGTATAATAATATGTACCTAATATATACTAATACAGGATGATTTTTAAATCATAAACCAGCAATTCTCTCGGAGTTTTTCAAGTGAATTTGATTTCTATTTTTTTCTAATCATTATGGAACCGTTTAAGCTTTAGTTAAAAACCATTTTTAATTTTTTACCCCTACTCTATATACCTTAAATAAGTATATACTTTTGATTTTCAAATAGGAATCCACTCTTTTGAACACATATTTGAATAGATAATATTTTTCTAGAAATTGATATACCATAAATAGGCAATTTATTACCCTTCGCCCTACATCTCCAGTCTAAACTCTAAACTGTTATAACTCATAAACAGTAAATCTGATATCAGTGTTATGCGTATCAATATTTCTAGAAAACTATTCTCTATTCATATCTGTGTTCAAAAGGTGGTGGGGGGGGATTTCTGTTTCAAAATCAAAAGTATGTACTTATTTAAGGTATATAGCGTAATAGTAAAAATAAAAATGGTTTCTAAAATAAAGCTTAAATGATTAGAAAAAACAGAAATCAAATTAATTTAAAAAACCCAAAGATAATTTCTAGTTCATGATAAAAAAAAATCACTCTGTATAGACTTAGTTGCTATAATACTAACGTCTTCACTATCAACTGTGTGTATTGCACGATTAAGATACATTTTCTCCTTATTGCTGATAAATGGATGCCGGTTCGGATGGTTATAAATCAATACAAACCAAAATACGAGCCAGAATAAACCAAATAGCCCAAATACATAAAACACACTAGTCCAACTATCAGTGTACCGCATCAGAAAACCACCTAACTGCATGGAAGCAACATTACCAACTTGTGCGCCTAGAAATTAATAGATAAAAGTCTGCATGTACACAACATTCACTGTTATTAGTAAACCAAAAGTTTAATCAGTTTTTCATACCTACCAGCAAACACCAGAGATCCCAATCGACCACGTTCTTCCAATGGTACCCATGAAGCCAGCAGCCTACTCATTGCAGGATAAACTGGTCCCTATAAGGAAAATACATTTTTGTCATTAAATGAGTAAAAATATTTATTTTTTTTTTTTTATGAATTACCATATAAACGACAAAACAAACTTGTACACTAAGAATATTTTTTTAATTTTAGTTAAAATTATGGAAACGTTCAAAATAACTTCTGAGTACCTATAACATACTTAAAAATCGTGTAAAGTAGGTACCTACTCGTACGTTTTATACATAGAATAATTTAAAATTTTATCTGAACGGAACTAAAAATTATTATTTTTAAAATGTGTAATTTAAACAGCATTAATGATTATTTGTAGAAATTACACAAGCACTCCTCTATAACAGGTACCATATATGAGAAATAATTTTTGTTTGTAACATTAATTATTATTTTTTCGCCAACAAAACTAATACTAATTATATATAGGGTGGATTTGCCACCTATGGTCATCTTAAGAATTTTTTTCTATTCATATTTGATTTAATCTATCTATGGTTTTTGAAAAAAATTTAAAATTAAATTACAAACACATAAGTTTGCCAATACATAGTTTGAACTTCAATGTTTTAAGAACATTATGGAGTAGAAAATTTGTATTAATATTTTCAAATTGCATTTGCCCGTTCTATATAGCCAAGCTATTCCTATGCTATCTGAGTTTTTGTAACAATTATCGATACCACCCAGTAAATTAATTAATGTAGATGAACACTATATGGTTCGTGGACAACAAAATTAATAATCAATAATTATATATAAACCTTGGATGAATAAAGCAATAACCATATCAAATTAAAAAATTACGCTTTAATGAACAAAATAAAAATGAGTGGCCATAGAAGGGATACTGACCATAGTGGTGACTCGACCCTACCTACTATCAGTTTTGCATTCATAGGTAATAGCATAATCGATTAATTAATTATATATTTATTTAAAGTAATAAGAAAGGCACGAATTAATCGCTGAGCTTTATGATATTGAATTAAAATTGCATGATAATAGTCATATTATATCTAATAGTTATAAATGATAATAGCTAAGTACCTAATTAACAACACATCAGTTCTATATACCAGGTGATCTTCATTCACATAATATTGCAGGGAAACCACGTGCAATAACATATAAATTTAATAAACTCAAAAACTTGATACCAAAAAAAACTATATGTATGATATATTCTGCCCTGTATCAATCAATCTACCAATATGGTGTATTAATATGGGATGGTCTGGGAGATGGGGTTTTAAGACAGCTGCAAGTTAATCAAAATAATATAGTACGAATTTGTTTTAATAAAAGTACCACGGAAGGACCGAGTAAACAAAATTACTTAGATTTAAGCGTATTACCAATTCGATCACTTTATAAAAAAATTGTAATTATTTTTATTTATAAACGTCTAATAAAAAAAAACAGTAACCCTTTTTATGAAAACAAAAGAGAAAACAGAGTCTACAATATTCCTGTTAAATATTCAAAAAAAACCATTGGACAATCCTTTATTGACTATCTGGGGCCTACATATTTTAATTTAATGCCTTATGAGGACAAAAAAAATATTCACACACATCAAGGAAATGTTAAAAAATTATATATAACTGGTTATTTTTAGAATTAGTCTAAATTTTTAAATTTTATTTTATAGTTATTACTTCATTATTATTGTATGTTAAGTAAAAATTCAAGAAATTGTATAGTGTATAGTTTACAACTTGTTTGTTTTTATTACTTATCTTATATAAAGCGGAAAATATTATAAAAATCCCGTTTAGAAAAATATATAAGCTTAAAAAAATTAACTATTATATTTACGATTTTAATCAAAATTTGATATTAAAATGCCAATCGAATATTTTCTTTTATTCCGTTATTACCTACGATACAATATTATTGTTTAGACCCGTTCGACGTTTCATTAGTGATAACAATCTACGAATTGTTTCAAAACTTCAATAATTGTAATACTTTTGAAAAACCGCGATTGTAATGTCTGTGACCGTAAGTAACGTCGTACGAATACGGTAAAACTAATCCGTAGCTTACTATATCCACTGTGGTTTGCGTGATTTTCAGATGACTAATCGCTGTCCAAATGAGACCCTCAACTGTTGTCTGTACCCCTGCCCGTCCGCGTCGTGTCAATGTCCGTCGGACTGCCCGATGGAGTGGGAATCGTCGTACACTACAGATAATTATATTTACGTGAATAACTTCGGGTGTTTTTACGAACCGATGGACGTAGATCCGCCCCTGCCGCTCCACCTTTACGTGGTATAGGACGATAATTCGATTAAAACATAAAATAAAATATTTAGCATTACGAGTATACATTTCAATTTTTATGTAACACTTTCATAACGAGTCCGGTAGTCCCAACGCGCAAACGATAATTTAAAAAAAATAATTGTGTAACAGTATCGATGGGCAAACGCCCGACGATTTGTTTTCAAATTCAAATTCCGAATTACCATCGCTTACGCGAATAATTCGAACAATTTCAACTAGTATACAAGGTGGTGATCCATTTAAGTGGGTAGGTACGCTCATTATCTGTTGGAAAATATTAACTCTTTCAGAGTTTATTTTGAATTCACGAATATTCCCTGCTCGTAAGCGGGAAATCGTTAGCAACGGAACCGCCACATTTTTGATAGACAAAAATAAAATACCGGTTATCAATACACAATCGAAAATTTTGTTTTATCAATATGTGTTATCTAGAAATCTATACAAATATGTATGGGCACATAAAAATCTTTCCGGTGTCATCGAAAATTTCCCCCCGTGACACTTTTTTACCATCCCTGGTATACAGTAATATTATTGTTATAAAACAATTACACACGTATCCGATCGACTTCACTGCGCTTTATTATGTGATTTCCAGATACCTAGCCTCGATTGAGCGCGTCTCGAACGAGAGTGTCGGCTCATATTTCGGGAGTCCCTTATATACCTACGAACTTTAGATGATTCAATAATGAACCTGGATTTGATGAATAGGGGCTGGTCCTGGGTGGTAAGTACATAATTTAACAGAAATAAATTTAAAATACTAAAATAATTGAATTGATTTCTGTTTGTTATACAAAGTGATTTTTTTTTTATCACTAATCAGCAATTCTCTCTGGGGATTTTAAGTGATTTGATTTCTGTTTTTTTTTTTGAGGATATCCTGAGTACGTCCTATTTTTCAATTTTTACAATAGTCGTATCGATGCAGCTTTAGATAGGTACCTATTTATACTTATTTAAAAGCTGATAACTTAATAATTGATAAACTGATCAACAGGAAAACAACATTTTGTTTCAACATTGATAATAAAACTCAATAAGACTATGGAGTACAGTTAGTAGTCGTGTAGTATATTGTGTGTATTTGTTGTGTATTTGGTTAGTGAACGAGTATAGTACCGTAATTCTTCCCATAACCTAGTACTGAACGGTTTTTTTAATCATTGTGAAATTAGTTAAGCTTTATTTTAAAACCGTTTTTAATTTTTAACCTCTAATCCGTATACCTTAAACAAATATACATTTTGACATTTTGTTTTCCAAATAAAACGAGTTATCAATTTATCATTTAAAAATAAATATACAATTCATTACCATTCTTTACTCTTCCGGTTTAAACTTTAAACGGTTATAACTCATAAACGGTAAATCTGATATTAGTATTATGCGTATCAACATTTTTAGACAAATATACTCTATTCGAATCTATGTTCAAAAAGGGGGGTTTCTATTTAAAAACAAAATTATTTCCTTTCCTATTTAAGGTACATGGTGTAGGAGCAACAAATTAACAATGATTTTAAAATAAAGCTTTAACATTTCCACAATGATTGAAAAACACAAAAATTAAATTAGCTTAAAATCCTTCGAGATAATTGCTGGTCCACGATAAAACAAATCACTCTATATATTTCTATAAGGTATTAACTACTAGTTAATGGGCTATTAGGTGGGTAGGTGGGTTGTATGTTCTTAACTAAAATAATTTAAACTGCCATTTTTTAAAGAATCCGGTGCCACTGTTATAGCGTACGTCAACGCAACCGTCCATCTCGCACGAACCCGACGACTCCAGAAGCCAGCCAACGGAGGTGAATGGTAAAAAGGCAGCTACTGGCGCCGTCGGGTGACGTGAAAACGTTGGAACGTGGAGACGTACAAGGTTATAACCCTCGGAATGAATGCAGACTACAGTGACTGCAATTCGGACGGCGAATACTGAACCTGCACAGAGATGGAGTGTTACTCTATCAGGCACATAAAAAAAATCAAATCAAGTATTATTTTGCTTTATTATTATTTATTATTTTGCTTTATTATTATTTATTATTTTGCTTTATTATTATTTATTATTTTTATTTCAGTAAGTATCTCATAGGAGATTCAAATCAGACTTGTAAATTGTAATGTTTAAAATATGTCTTTCATCGTTCAGCCACCACAGTAATAATATTATTATGCTAAGAGATATTATTATGATATAATTTTAGATTCTAAACGAAGCGGGGAATGTATTAATTTTGCAATATTTATTTAAAACAAATTTTTTTTAAATCTATAAACAACTTTTCTACCTAAGTCTGATTTCCAAGTGTAGTACTTTTTCTGGAAGGGAATTTTATCTGGGCGGTACTTTAGGAAAGTAATTTTTTAATTTTTCAAACGGTTTTCATAATAAATGATTGGGCCATCAATTAAAACACTAAACATAAATGCTTAAAAATTTAACAGGAGAATCATTATAAGTCGTACTTTGTGTTGGGGTAAAAAAATTGAATGTAATATAGATTTCTTTTTTTAGAAGAATTAATATCAAATTTTGATTAAAATCGTAAATATTACGGTCCGTTTTTTTAAGCCTATACATGTTTCTAAATGGGAATTTTATAAATATGTTCCGCTTTTATTATAGTTTTATTAAGTTAAATTTCTTCACGGAAAAATGGTATAATAATAATATTATGCAGTAGCAGTATAACTATTTTCAAAAGTATTCAAAATACGCATTATTAATTATTTTTTTTTTTTTTATAAAGAAATATTATTAAATATAAATATACGACAATTAACACTACACTATTTTCGTTTTAAAACAAGTAGCAACGATAGTTCAACTTATGATACGAGTCACTGCCGACTACCGCGTTTCATCGTTTTCGATCGTGTCCCGTTTTTTCTACTTGGTTTAGGAATATGTTATTATTTATTAATAATTATTCATACGATTTTGTATTAACTAATAAACCGTGTATTACGCGTAGGTATGCTATATTATCGTGCGTTATTCGTTTTTTAATAATATCGTGAATTTATTTTTCATTTGTCGTTTGAACAAATTTTTAGATACAAATTTCTTTGAGCCATATTATTTATAATATAGTTAAACATATAAAAAATATTATACTATACAAAATATAGGTAAACGTGAACAAGTAAAAACCGTAAAATATAACACAATAATTAAGTTCAAAACGTTCATAATGTATACAGTAAGTACCCCAATAGATTGAAAACCGATCATGATAATATATATTACGATACCCGGATATATATACGGGGTCAATTCCGAATGTGTCAGTACTAAAAAAATTGTCTTTCGATAAACTATCGAACAATTGTGAAAAAAGGTTTACATTTAAAACAGTATATAAGTATGCTCAGGGTCATGTTTAAGGAGGTATCTACCCCTTAAATCTGTGAGGCGTCTGGCTCAATATAAAACTCGAAATAGAATTAACAATATCACAATGTCACTTGTTATTTGTTTTATTTTCAAATAATTTGCTTAGATTAATAATTAATATTTCTTGGTAACTAGGAGCACGTAAGTATTACATCATATTAACGTAATATGTGTAGATACCTAAACGAAAATTTGAAAATAAGGAAGAATCTTATTTAGTGGAAGTAAAATGTTGAAATACGAATGTGAATTTAATAAAATTGCAAACAAATAAACCACAAATTTGGAGGGATTAATCCTCCAAATCATCCCCGAGTGAGACTATGAGAAGAAACGTTTAAAAATCGATGCCCCCGGGTGTTAAATGGCTTAACACAAATCTGAGTTTATGTGTCTAATTATTTAAGATCGATTAAAATATACATCTCAATCGTAGCTTACAAATAATTTACAATTTACGAAAATGCATACTTGCGAAAGTCCAATGATCACTCGTAGAGTAATAAGTGCCGATGGTCCACATGTTCTAGCTATTAAAGGTGTAATCACTGTACCTATACTGCTGAACAGCATTCCTAAACCTAAAGTGGCTTTTCCTCCATACTTATCAGCAAACATGCCACCTGGCATTTGGGTGATGACATATCCCCAAAAGAACGAAGCCAATATCAGGCCTTGAGTTTTTTCGTCCCAACCAAATTCCATTACCTGCAATAAAATATAATAATATAAATATTTTAATAATTCATATAAATTTAAAATCCCATTACAAATTTGTTTATACGATTATTTTACCCTGCCTATTTTGTAGTAAATTAATATTCTTCAAAAACAATAAATAACCGAATAGGTACTATATTAGTGCAAGACTCTACGTATGCGTACCTACTACACTAAAACTATACTTCCCCCTCCTCTCGCCACAAGCTTGATTAATGTGAGGGGTAATCAACTCGTATTATATAAAATTTCAATTTGAAATTGTATTTTATCATTGTTTGAGTTGAATGAATTATTAATTGTTTTTATTATTACACTACCTAATTCCAAAGTTGAAAGTTGAATTCCCAAAAAGCACATCCTCGAAACTAACACAATGCATCATATTATTAAATATCTTTTACAAAATGTCATCCCGTTTTGGGAAAATTCAATAGAAAAATGCCATAAACCAAATATTTTTACAAAATTAAAAATGTACCTAGGTAATAATATAATATATTAGATTTAAAATAATTTTATTTAAAAGTTATATTCTAGAAATTAAATCTAAAAACGATCATATAAAATTATAATATTACTTTGAACAGTTCGAACTATGGCCTGGATTTGAATGCCAAAAAAAACATCAATAAAAATGTATTTATATACGAGCAACAAGTTTATAAAAACATAAAACAAGTGAATAAGTATAGGCTAGGTATATACATGATAAATAAGTATAGTCACATAAGTACTCAATACTCGTATTAAATAATTAATAACCACATTTACATAGATCGGTGTAGTTAGGTTGGTTGTAGGTAATAACCTATACGTAATATTCTACTTATAATATCCCATTGACTATCGGACGGGTAATCTATTAGTGGCTATTGTTATCATTTAAAATGTAAAATCTTTAACAGTTAAATTTACAGACAAAGATTTTAAATTATAATGTGGTTAGTAGGTGTACGCATAATACTCATATGTAATATGTGTGCATATATTCTATATAGGTATATATTTTTATTTTTTTTTTTTTGACAATTCGCAGCAATAAAAAAAAAATATAGGTAACTATCAAGCGAAACATATATTGTCTTTCCACCAAATCGCCTTTATTGTTATACATCACAAAATTCAGAAATTAATTATTTTTCTCGTTTATAGTCCATTTAAATAAAAATAGCGGTTCTTAATATTTAATTACATATAAATATATATTTAACTGTCAAAAACAGAGATAAAGTCATAAACATAGAAAAAATCAAATCAAATCATAAAAACTAGACTTACAAGTCAATAAAAAGTTTGGTACTTGTCTAAAGAACTATTAAATTAAAAATGTAAATTAGCAATGAACATGATCTCGTCACAAACTTTAATTTTATTGTAAAAAAAATATTCGGAAATCGGGTTAAGTGGAAATTATTAGGACAAGGATGACCGGTTCATTCCCACATCGCCGACTTCCATTTTTCTCACACATAAATTGATTACATTATTATTTTAAATTGAAAGCTCTTATAATTGTTGCTGATATTATTACTATTATAAAACATGTCAACAGTGTAATATTCAAACTACTCAATGTTTTTCAATAACAGATTTATATTACATACATTTATGTTAATAAGAACACATACACTTTTTATTATATTTTAATTGTAATGTTTTTATTATTTATCCATTTTAGATTTATGCATTTTACCAAATAGAATTATTTATACACCTGAATGAATAAATTAATCAAAGAGTTGGCTTTAATGAATAGTTTATTATTTCAACCAAAACAGTTTCAAATTGATTTTGAAAAATAATCAGTATTCGGGATTATATCCACGCGTCTCGCGACCTGCAAGCAAATGATTTTCACGAATCTACTCCGGCATATTCACATCACGATGATATCTACAGCTTGTTACACATTCTGCATTTCGAACGCGGTTAGTAGTTCAAAATTAAATATGTATACTTTTAAGTGGGCGTATTCACACGCGCGACCGAGACGCGATTTTCAAGCGGTTTCAGTATCTTTTCTGGTGGAAAATTGTATCTAGAAATTAAAATACCTAATGAAAGTGAATGCAAGTATGAAAGATTACTTATGTATACATTTTAAAACCTGTGGAGTTTTAGCAATTATTATAGAACTCTAACCATAATTCAGGCTTGGGGATTACTTAAAATTTAAATTTGAGTGTAAAAATGGTTACTGTATTATTTTATAAAATAAATAACTTAAACAAAAAAGTATAGAAAAACTACCTATTAGTTATAAACTTTTATTCAAAATATCAATTCAATTTTAACGACAGATAAGTACTAAGTAGTAACCAAACGATATCCAAGTAAGTACTATGAGCATAATTCGTGGGCTTGTGGCAATTTATATTATGTATTTATTTTATTATGATAAACTAATTTTTCTCTGTAAATATAAAAATTAAATTCTTCGTAAATAATAGAAATATTAACTTATATTTTTTTTTCCAATAATAATATTTAATGATTTTCCATATTCTAATCACCCTTAAATCTACAAACTTCTAATTTTTTGAACGGACAACTGTAATAAATAAAATATTTTTCTATACAATATGAAAATTGAAAATGAACGTAATCGGGAATAATGAAAACAATTTAAGTCGATTTCAAGTTAAATTAAAGACAATAAATGACTTAAGTTAAATTAATTAAAATATCAAACCAGTAAGTTAAGTTAATAAGTTGAAAGCAACTTAACTTTTAACTAATTAACTCGTAATGCCCGGTCTCGCATTTTTGTTAAGATAAAGCTAAATTGATACTATGTAATAATATTACGATTACCATCCGAGTACTATGTCTACCTACATAATGTATTGATTAGAACGACATTCATATTATATAACATGAAGTTATAATAAATACGTTCAACACTAATCAATTAATTTTGTTGCAAAATATTAAATAAACCAATTATATTGTCTGTAGTATTGTAGGTACCTATATACCTAGTTTATGTAGATATAATCTAACATTAGTATCTAATAATTTTTTACACTAAAGCGGTAATTTAACATTATATTCCGCGCTAAAAATTATTGTTATTACTTGTAATTACTGTAGATAATAGGTATCTCCAAGGTGAACATGTAGAGATGTAAACACTTCCTACCTTGTATCATCACCACTTGTAACTGCCACCGGGAACGCAGCTTACCCAATGAGGGCTCAAATATACTAAGTGGTAGTACTTAGTAAGGTACTAAGTGAATAATAGTTTTTATTTATAGGTATTAATTTTGATATTTATTTAATCTTTTTGTACCGTTTTTCATGTGTTGTATTTGATCGCTATGCCTTTTATATGCAAATATCATTCTTGTGTTCGAATAGAAATTAATTATATATTTGATTAATTCATTCTGTTGTAGCAAACAGCCAATTTTAAATGGAAATCCAGTAATATTGACTTCGTCCGTAACTATTTAGAATACCTAATGAACATACGTATAATTTGAAATAAGGACCATGAATTAAATTAGTACCTATCTACAATAAAATATGGTTCCAAAATACGTCTACGAATAATTTTCTTATTTATGACATTTATAATAGCAGTCTCCAAGTATCTAGTATATTACCTATATATTCATTAGATATTCCGATGGACTGAATAGATGTCCTCGATTTCTCATATTTATAAATTCTTGAACTTCTACATAAAGATGAGTGTGATCATTTGAATATCAACCATGTTCTAAAAAGCAATGAATTATTTACCCTAATATGAACGTTTCATTGAATATACATAATGCAGTAGATAAGTTCCGTTTATAATGACACCGGTTGTAATGATATATCAGGAGTAATTACTTTAGATTGAAGGTCCCGACAAAACTCCTATATTGTATGTACTAATTTGTATCGATTATCATGCTTAAACGTATGTGATGACGGTTATTTTTGAATACATTGCTACCTATCTATAATATAATTTCGTGTTAAAATAATAAAACAACTTTTTTTTTTTTTATTTCGAGTCACGATTTAGTGATACAAATATGCCACATTGATTCTAATACAGTATTATATTCATATAAATACATAATATGCATATGTATTACATATGCATAGTCAATTTTTAAATTGTGTTTTTTAATTCTAGTAAAAACGATAATCGGATAATATGATTATTTTTAACTAGTCCTTTGGACGTCATTATAAACGGTTTCTACTGTATAATATAATATACCCAAGTAGGTATAATGTTTACAAATAATAGATATGTTTATTGTTTTATTATTTGTATTAAATTTTTAGAACTGAATTTCTATATTGATGATCTCTAGTTTTAACATAATAAGTTTCAATATCATAAACCTATTTCGCAGGGCCGGCCGTAGGTTTTTTGCCGCCCTAGGCAAATCTAATTTACGCTGCCCTATGCAATAGTTAATTTTTTGAAGAGGAGGGGATTAAAGAAAATATGGACATTCATTTTTAACTATGAACTCTTGTTTTATTTAAAAAAAAAAAAAAATGTTTTTACTGACCTCGGTTTTCTTTACAAAATATAAAATAATAATAATAAAATTAAAATAAATGTTAGGTATTAAATAGAACAAGTAATATTTTTACCCATCGATATACATTCATTATCGTTATCAAAGATCAAAAATATGTTTTTAATTAAACATTAAAAAAATATATAACTACAAAATTAAAGATATATTAAATAAAATTAATTTTGCAAGCATTTTCTTGGGCAAAATCAGTCAGTAAATTTTTATACTCCAGATTTTCCATTACTTCTTTTTCAATAGAAATTTTAGCAAGATCACTTAACCTTTCTTGATTCATAGAAGATCTCAAATAGTTTTTAATTATTTTTAATTTGGAAAAGCTTCGTTCACCAGATACGACCGACACTGGCATAGTTAAAATAATGCGAAGTGCCACAGCTACATTTGGTACAAAATTGTTATTATTTACAATAAACTGTAAAACTTCTAATGGGGTACTGTTGGGTTTTAATAACTCGGATATTGCTACTNACTCATCTGTCATTTCTATGGCATCAATATCTGATTTACTGACATTTTCATTTTCTGATAATAGCAATTGAAGATCCATACAATTCTTCACAATACTGTCTTTCGTTATACTTTTTAGACTACTTATGTCATACAACTTAAATGTATTTTGCTCGTTTCATGTTCTTTAACTATATTGTGTACGTTTTTCCAATCATTACAGACAAATTTAGTTAGTGCATAATTTTCAATACTAAATATTTTACAACAAAAACAGTACACAACATCATTTTTAACAGAATAAATTAACCACGTACGTTGTATAACTTCACCATTTTTTAATGCTTTACTTAAAATTGAAATTGGAAATCGTCGATTTAACGCATCTCTAGGATAGTTGAAATCTTTACTTGATTTAATGGGACCTGTTTTCACTACTTGATGTCGTAATGAATCTGAAAAAATTTCTGGCCATGTCCCGGGGTCAGATATATTATATTCATTTTCATTAAATTTAAAACTCGCTTTTTCTTCCAAAGGTGTATTTATTTCATTATTGAAAATATCAATGCTATCGGAAATTTGTTCTGAGTTACCAACTTCTTTTAAACTATCAGTAACTTCCAAGGTTTTTGGTTCTTCTAAAATAATAATAGAACGTGTTTCTGGATTATTTAAAACTTCATTATTTTTTTTCAAATATTTTTCAAAGGAATCGGAGTTTTTTTAAATTTCTTCATCACGTTTTAATTTTTATTTTCGATATGCAGCTCCTGATAACCGTATACGTTTTTGCTCTGACAATTCTGACATATTAAATGAATATTAATGTGATAATCCAACAAATTTTAAGTTTATTTTATAAAAAATAAAAATTTTACAAGTTCACGTACTTAATCCACTATCACTATCACTCTACAGCAAAAACTATTTACGTATCAGGCGGGCGGCTGAAAGTTCAGGACTAAATGCCGTTGTCACTGACGGTTGTTTTTGTTGTAAGTCCATTGAACTATATAATTAATGACTAGATGGTGCTGACACCTACTTAAAACAGATAGACATCAGTTATAAAAAAGAACTCACCATGATAATACACGTGTAATATAATATTAATAAACTACTATTAAGGACCATTCTTGCATAATTATTAACAACCTTTAAGACTTATTACAGTTTTCCAACTAAATAATAATTCTAATTGTTATAGTTGTATTTAATTCAAAACGCATAAGCGAAGTTAATAAATCAAAAACTTTATTTCACAGGTACTCGTAATTCGTAGACAAGTGTTTAATTTCTAAATTTTAACACGAATTGGTAGCATGCATAATTATAGTATATAATAGGTGTACCTACTTTACAAATCACTACTTCTCCAAAACATATATGAACAATTGTATAATATTGAAGATGGATTTATGTTAAACAAAATCTAAACTATTCATAAATTAAAAATTTAATTCAATTTAATTGATATCTCATAATTGTATGACTTTTCTCAAGCATTGTTTTGCATCGTATTTTCGTATAGAAATGTGAACACTATGAGCCCTCATCGGGTAGTCAGCGCTCCTGGCGGTATTTACCACTGGTTTCCTTTTTTTTTCTACCAATTTATAAGCGAAGTATTTACACCTCTATACATCCACCATGGGTATCCTGTGAAAATTATAAGATGTCGCCGTATTCTTGTAAATAACAACTACTACAAATCTCCTATAGTATTTACAATTAGCACTTAATTAGTATATTTCCATCCTTTCTGTAAACGGTTAGAATAATTGTTTAATCGCAGATTTTTGTTTAATAAACATTTTAAGTGTGACACATTCATTGTTAGATAAACGGCATAATAATTATAAAAATAAAAAAAAAAAATCACTAGCGAAAGAAGTTGCGTGTCATACAGTTGTAGTGTAATCGGTTTTAATTATACATTATAGAGACATGCGAAACCGATAAACTTCAGAACCGAACTGATAGTATGTGACAACTTTGAATTGAGAATAGCACTTACTGTTTCCATTCAAACTTATGGTTTTGAAAAATCTCTAATATTAGTTTCTATCTAAGTGGATTACAATAATAATTCGCGCGGCCAGTGCAGGGTTAAACTAGTTTAAAAGTAATTGGATAAATTTGCTTATTTAAAAAAAAAAAAAAACAATAATATTTTTCAAATATTATTGATTCTCAAATAGCTACGATTATAAGAAACCTCTAAAGGACACAGCACACAATGAATTTCCTAATGTCTTAGAAATACTACAATATACACTCTTAGTAGATATGTCTAAGATGTTCGAATTTTTTGTTCTAATACTTATGACTTTACGAGTTATGACATACCGTTTGTGCGAAATTCAAGTAAACGCGATAAAATCGATAACTTAGTAATAAAAGGACTGTGGTCGAAAAACGAATTTAGCAGAAATCGAAAAATGAAAAAGCTTTCATTTTTTTTTTCATACGCGTGTTGGTATACGCGACAGGTCGCGGCACACAGTTTATGAAATCGTATTTTGACGGGTTTTCCTAGAATATTCTCGCAGGACAACGTCATTATTGCGGAGTTTCCCTTGTGCAACTAATTTTGTGCCTCAGCTGCTATAGCCTGTGATATTTTGACGGCGGCACATACCTACCTGTTACCTCGTACCTGTAAGTCGCGCACGCGGATTTAAACGTTATTTTATTATTATGTTGTATTTATAGCATTGACAACGAAATGCACGCGGTCGCCGAGCATACGGAGCACACGGAGCATACGGAGCATGCGGAGCATATGGAGCATCGCCATCGACGTCGTTGCCGCCGTCCGCACTACCATTTTTGTAAAATAGCTAATAATTATCGTATCGCCATAAGGTAACACCGTTCTCATTCCTATGCCGGTCACGAACGCTGTGCATACATACTACACGTACCGCGCAAATCGTATACGATAATTATCTTCGGTAAAGGCACTGACTACGGTCTACATTATTACCGATACTAAGGTTAGATTTTGTTTTCAACGATACGGCGATGGCGCGTGCTGATGCCGCGACGATCGCGAAAACCTTCAAACGTGTTACACACATCGATCGATCGATCCTCGTAAATTCGTGAGGGCCGCGGGCACAATGTCAATTCGTTCTTCTGCATAGAATTTTTTTTTTTTTTTTTTTTGCATTACCGTCTTGTTTCTTTTTATATAAGCAAAAAATCGTCAACGCCGATGACAATCGGTTTACTATATAGGTAGATTTTTAATAACCTATTGATATTATAATGTATCCGGTGCACAGCATGAGATTTTCCGAAGGTTCTCGGACAAATAATACGCACGCTTGCACTATTCATAATAATTTATTGATAACGCGTCATATTATATACAAACCGTAAAAACTGAAAAAAAAATCTCCCATCGACAATCGAACTGGTGCACACATAGAGCGCATTTTATGATAGAAATATTGGTGTCATTTTCGTTTGATGTATAACACTTTGCGTATTAATACAAAGTAAAAATAATTGTGTAGAACGAGAATGCACAAATTCAAATGGCTAACGGACTTATATTTAAAAATCTAAGCAATTTACTGTTCTTGACGTATATTATTATACCAGTAAGTACCTAGGATCTGGAACTTATAGCATTTGCTCTCTTTTTTTTTTACGAGTCATTAAATCTAGCAGTGACAATATTATAGGAAAACACACGGACATATTTCGCACGATAGATGGCCCGATTTTTTCGGGTTTTTCTCATTTATTATGAAAACCCATGGGAAAATCAAAAAGAGTAAAATTATAAAATTCAATAGTGTTTTTTTTTTCTGTTTATTTCGATAGTTTAAAAAAAATGCTTTTTACTAGTTTTAAAATATGTTTTCATGTGTAAGTTTCGGGGTTTTAAAAACTTTCTTTGTTGTTACCCAGTGGTTATACCTAATTATATATTTTGTATATTGCATTTGAAAAATATATACGTTACCCTTTTTACTGCGGTTGTATTTCCAGGTAACGGGTCAACCGGGCATACGGTGCCTATGGTTACATTATGGAAAGTGCTGCGTCGGGTAGGTTCGACCATTTCGGTAATTGCTAAACTCAAGCAAAACCGTTGAACGTATCCAATAGCAAGCGCCATGAAACCCATGGTGCTCAATACGTATCTCTGTTGAATGCAACTTTGTTTATCTGGAACCAATAATTAAATAGATAGCTATAGGTATATATAGGTACTAATATACAAGTATATATGTAATAGAATATAATAATTAGTAAATTAGTCTATAGTATATTATATTATTTAGCTATACCTAACATACATATCCATCATCCAGTGTGCTTCGAGACTTTTTTTTTTTTTTTAGTGAAATGCGGAAATTTAATAGTTATCAAATGCGGGATAAGAATATAGTAAAACACTTAATAATATAATACAAATATTCTAGAAACACGTGCGTGACATGAAGAAGAATAAAACCTGTAGACGTATCTATACAGCCGATATACATGTATAATAGGCGGCTTTGTCAGATATTTTGCATTTATGCTCATAACAAAATATCGTAACGAGTTTCCTAGATAACCTTAAACATAGGTTTTTAGTATATATAATAAATGATGAATGGTAAAACAATACCTACCCAAAACAAATCATCTAGGTACTAACATCATCGCTTAAATCGTAAACCGCGGATAAATATTATTAGCAATAGAATATTGTTGATCATAATAGCATGTATACATTATTATGATAATCGTGCGCACATGTACATTGAGTGCCGTTGCACACCCCGTGGCTCGTTTGCTGAATATGAAATTTACTCATTCTGGGCCTTATAAAATTAAATGATAACCCATGAGGTTTACAAAATTTTCATTTCCAATTAAAAAAACTGATGAATAAAATCAACCGACAGCCATTAACAGTGATATTATTTATCCTTGCTTTGGGTTCAAGGTTTATGTCGTAATAGTGATAATATTAATTTTCTAAAATTCATATAAAAAAAGTGTAAAATCAATAAGCGAATTCGATTATAGCCTGCCTGCTGCATAGTTTTAGATACTTTTCTCTGAAATCTAGACTTTAATAAAAATAAAAAGTTGAAACGTCAAAATTTCCAGACGAAAAATCTTCATAAAATGGCCATATTCAAGTTTGCCGAAAGTAATTAAATAAAAAGTTTTTTTTATTAGTTTTTTACTAAAACATACAAATTTAATTCAAATATAAATATTTGTAGTTCTTATCCCTGCGATTGAACAGAACAGAATTTGATTATCTTTATTATCTCAGGAGATATTGCAACTGGTATATTTTCACGGGACACTCTGTATAGTAATGTATTCGTGAAACATAGGTACCTAGGTAGTAAACAACATGATTTTCAATGAATTGATATTTTGCATTAATTATCTTTTTTTGAAGGGCACACTTCAAGAATAACGGCCCATTTTCCTTATGGCACCGTCCTGCGAAAAAATCCTACGCACGCCAATATCAATTATATTGATAAGATATTCAAAATAAATATATGAATAAAACAACGCGATTTTGCAGTATAATCCGATCACTATTCGCACTTCTAAAAAATGATATATTATTTGTTTATGTAGGTATTTACAAGTTACAAGAACTAATACCACAATAATATTACATAAAATGATTAGGTTTCATAAAAAGGAAAACGTATCTGCTTAAGAACAAAGATGAAAAAGTATTTCAACAACGAGTAGGTACATTATATCGCGTTACGATTTATGAAATAAGGAAATTAATATTAATTTTCTAAGAACGTCATTATTATTAACATTGTTTAGTAGGCACCAATAAAACATATTGTATAATGGTGTTGAGAATGTAGGTATCTATTATGTTAAATATTATGTTGTAACAATTATTTTCCGCGTTATAATTAATGTATTTTATTTAATGTTGATACGTTAAAAATATTCAGCAATCGATTATATTTCTTAATATATTCTAAATTTATAACAGTAATTATAATCTATATACTTATATTTATGATAACACCTATTACGTAGCTAGGTGTACTGTAAAGTATAGTCTTATGTATGATGTTATCACTGACTAAAATATGTATGGTTAGCTCACTACAATAGAGTATTATAACATACATATAGAATGATAATTATATACCTTTAAGTATTTGTGCATCGTAGTATTGACACGCATCTTAAACTTTATGAATGTCATTAAATTGATGAACTTTGGCACAATTAATTTGATAATGCTGTGGTCTTATAAAATTTGTTATGATTTCTAAATATACTGTTTAAGACTGGGACTTGTTTGTCATAGGCACAAATAGAGGGGAGGCATTTGCACTAAGCCCCCGCCCTTCCAAAAAAAAAAAATTTCAATAGCCTCTCCAAAACTCCCAAGTTTGTTTTCTACTTATTGAATTTTTAAATAGTTTACGGTGCGGAGTAAAACATTTGTTTGTAATAAAAACACAAATTATAAACCATCAATTTACCATTGGTGAAAAGTAAATGACGAAAATTAAAAAAAAATATATTCATGGTTTTACTCCAATCAAACAATATACAAGTGAAATATCTCACTGTGCATTCGTTTTTGTATTTTAAGGATAGCGTAATTCATTGGTTGAATACATTTTATTTATCACGAATCATTATGTCGCATATAATGTATAAATTATAATATTATTGTTCATTCTAATTTGTAATTCTAATATAGGTACTATAAATAGGTCACGTGTTTAATAATAGGTTTTAATAATTACCCATTATACCCAATAATGGGTTCTCAGTCTCGCTGAGTGTAAAGTGGGCCGTGTATTTTGGAGAAATTAAAGATACCCTCGTTCAATGAAAAACGAATATCCGTGGAATTCAAATTAAACTACAGTCAGTGGCGTCAATTCAGTTTTTGATTGGGGGACGGCAAAAGTTTTGACCGGCCCATAGTAAAATTGAAAAAAAAAACCGATCTCTCCGCTCGCTAACTTATTCATCACAATTACATTTTTATCTCAATACAAATGCCCTTTTTACATTGTGATACACATTAATAACCCATTATTTTGAAGAACAACAATGATAATATATCTATACATGTAGAGGGTTACCTAAACAACCTATTAACTATATGAAAAGTTAGTTTGAGGAGCATTATACCACAATTTAGGTCCTACTTTCGCCATTATGTATGGAGTATAAAATATGTACCTATGATAAAATCATAAAACACAATGACATGAATTATATTTGTGGGCTTGTGGCAAAGATTAGCCCGCTGATGACAAGGGGGGTGCAAGTGCCTCCCTTGCCCTTCCCAATTCGTTTACGTATTTATTACTTCCACTTTTTTTTTCATTGAATAACTAGGGCTTTAAACACCCCACCCCCAAATCTCGAATCCTATGCTAGTTATGTTATACAACTTGTTGCATTCCCACCGCGATCAAAAATCGGTCAAACGTTGTTACAACATTTGACAAGTCGGCAATATCGCATTTAAAATCAGATGTGAAATCGTTTGTTACCGAAAAATATAAAATATACGAAAATTAGGTAGATACTTGTATGTTTGTCGCTCTGCCACATATTATATAATTTACCGCCACTGGTCGTCATTTCCGAAGTACAATAAACGTAATTAAATATTATCCAATGTCAATTTTGTACACTGTAACCTACCCGAGATTTTTCATAACAAATCGATGGACAATTTTGTTTATAAAGGGCAGGGCTTCGCACCAGAACTATTTATTCAGGTTTTAGGTTTCGGGTCTTGAAAAAAAACCAATGGTGTGATAGCGTGTACATGTGGAGGTATAGTCATTAATATAAACAAAGACAGCGAGTCACGTATAACATTTTGGCCATAAGTACCCGGTCGTATACCCTCTAACTTCACTTTAACTTAATGTACATAAATGTAAATGGTTTGCCCTTGAATGAATGGAATGCTGAAAAAAATATAAAATGTTGGCTAGTCAATCATAGTACTGCCAATGACGAAAGGTCCAGAATGGCCAACGCTACCACTACTATTAATTCAATAAAGAAAAAAAAATTCATAATTTGTATACAAATATTTTTTTTCTGGGGGGATAATACTTTAGGGAGGTCATCTATTTAATTTTCCCAGGAGTTTCCTCATAAATAGGAAAAAACGGGAAAAGGTACGAAATGTAAGCATTAATAAAAAAAATATTATGGACTTAACAGAAATTCTTGAAAATTTATCAAGGGTTTCTTTAAATGTCGTGATTTGTGATAAGAAAAAAAAAATTGAGTGTAATGTAGAATTTTTTTTATAAAGTAATTTTAGTATCAAATTTTTACACTACTCGTTTGAGTAAAAAATTATGTGGAACAAGGACTGGTCAATGCAAATTTGTATTTATTTTTTTTTCGTTTGATCATATATTTACCTATTGCCGATTAAAAACAATGGTGAAGTCAAAATTGAGCGAACCGACTTGCTTTCGAAATCACAGCTCATTGAAGTTCTAATATTATGTGGATATTATATATGTGTTATGTAAAATAACTCAATAATGTCAATATTTTTAGTACGTCCATCGTAGTCTAATGGTGGTTCAAGTCGCGAGTTCAAATCTGAGGTTCGAACATTTTATTTTGTAAAATCACGTCGGGTAGATAACAGGAAAAAACAAATGTTTTTTGTTTCAAAAAATAAAATTGGGTGTAATGTAGTTTTTTTTTTTACATATGAGTTTTAAAATACAATTTTTACGAAAATCTTAATTATTACGGCCTTTAAATACTTGTACAACCGAACTTCGATTCGAATTGTTTTTCGTTATCAATGGTTTAACTATGGTTACAGGTATAAATTAAATAACTTTATGTATCCCACTTTTCCTACTACCCACATACAATAGTGGCCGCACCTGTAACCAATATTAGCTCTTTTTAATTATTATTCAGATTCCAAGTAAATTTCTATAATTATATCTATCGTATTATAATATAATTTAATATTCTAGTTTAACCAGTTATCGTAAATTTGTTAGAACTATTAGCCACGATCGGAATTTCTTGTTTTATTTCAATTGAACACTTGGTATTTGAATTTGAATTTTTTTAACCTAAAAAAACTTGTTTTTAATTTCTACACGTAACTAACATACTGGTTTTTTCCTTGTACTTCAAGCGTTTTAATTTATATTTAATGCCAATAAAATTTCCAATTCTAAATACATGAAATGTGTATTTTGTTAGGTTAACTTTTTAAATATATTATACGGATCAAAAGCGGATGCTTTCATCGACCCCCCTCCCTCACGTAATCACACCCTACGGCGCAGATTTCAACGTACTACATTTACAATAGAAAAATTTCACATTTATATCAAACTATTTTGACCACTTAGAGTAAGTACATTATACTTTCGAATATCGATTGTTCGCTGGCATGTACATACAAAAAATATTATTTATGTACATCGTTCGACTCCACATATCGGTCGAATTTAAATAAAAATAAAAGATGTTTTCATTATAATTTTAGATTCTGAGTGCAACGTAGGGTAATATATTAGTTTTATAAAGATGTTTATATTTCTATCTTTTTTTTTTTTTATGTGAACACTTTTTCAACCAGAAAGCTTACTCCGATGTATACGAGAATAGGTACTTAGATATTTCAATTTTCATTTAAACTTATATTAATAGGTATGAGAATACGGAAAAGGTATATGAAAGATTAACTAAGCAAAGCAATTGGTATATAAAATTAATGCGTACATAATATAGGTAATTCAATAGTTATGTTAGAATAATTAATTATTTTGGTTTTACTTTTAATAATTAATAATCATTTAATTTATATGTAAAAGTATTTACATTATATTTATATTATATTATCCAGGCCATGCCTGATATTCTTAAATAATTCATTAATTAAAAAGCGTTAAAAAAGTTTAACAATTAATATACAAATCAATATTTTAAATTAACAGTTTACAAATTATTAATTGTATACGTCTTATACCTGTAAGTGTACTTCTCGATGTATGATAGGTATTATTAGTTAATACGATAAGCCATTGATAAATTAAAAAACTATTCGAAGTAAAGTTTGGTTATACATATTTTGGAAAGTTGTAATATTTTCGTCAAAATTTGAAATTAAAACTATTATAAAAAAAAATATTATTTTACACTCTACAATTTTTTTTTTTTTACCACAAAGTACAACTGTAATGAATCTCTTAATAAATTGTTGAGCATTTCTATTGGGTCAAACAATTTTATCCACCGAATACCTACCAAATAAAACAAAACTCGCAACATTTAAATGTCTATAAATAGTTTAAAATTAGTCTAGAACAGCATTTCCCAAACGGTGTGCCGTGTGCACTCCATAGGTGTGCCGCGAAATATTACTATGGTGCCACACAATGATAATTTAATGCCACCCAATGATGGGTGACTGTGCCACCACAGCGAAGAACGACAGGTACCACCGAATAACACATTTTCAAGTCAAAACTATTATTAAGAAAATTAAAAGTAACTTTGTAGGTATAAAGTTTTAGCTAAACCAGTAGCTCTATGTATGTAAGCAGTACTTGGGCCACGACAAAATCAGATGAAAAAAAATTAGAAGTGTTCAAAAGAAAGATATTGAGAAAAATATTCTACCCAAAGAAAAACAATGAAGGAGAATATAAAACACGAAGTAATAAAAATCTGGAAGAACTATATCACGAACGGAGATCCAAAGGACTTATTGTCAAATAACCACGTGGAAACCAAACACAAAAAGACCCAGACAAAGATGGCCAGACAGAGACAAGAAGATCTAAAGATATTGGAAGTAAGGAACGCAGATGAAACGGCAAGGAACAGGGAGAAGTGTAAACGGTATGTTGTTGTGGCAATGAGCCTGAAAGACACGTAAAAAGCCAAAGAAGAAGAAAAAATGACCACCAACTCTTGATTTCCTATGGTAACCTATATTAAAAGTACCATATATAGATGGAGTATTAGTTTGAGTAAATTTCGGTATTAAAATGTTTGATACCCGTTAACCCGTTCGTGAGATATTCCGCTTTTAAATTTAGGTAGAGGGACATTGGCATTACAACTACTTTCACTATATATCCACAGTATGAATATAGTTAATTTGTATGCACACACAGACAATACATAATATATACGAGGTATAAACATGGTGATCCATTTATCATGAACCATAGATTCGTTTCAATTGAAAAAAGACGAACATACTTCGTACGTGGGTGGGGCACTGTTGTAGGTGAGAAGTTAGGAAGGTAGAAGAAAAACTTAATGTATATCAGTACGCAACAATTAATTATTGCTAACGAAAAACGATTCTGAGCGGAGTTAGGTTTATAGTGTTGCTTTGTCAACAATATATATATATGTGATATTATGTTAAAATAATTATATATGCTTTATTATGCAGGGGTGTCCAACCCGCGGTCTACGGGCTGCATACGACCCACGGTAGATTTTAATGTGGCCCTCGCTTCAATTTCAAAATCATCAATTAATTATGTATAATATTATGAGAAAAAATGTATTTTAAAACGACAAAATATTAAAAATTAAATAAACTTTAAATTACTAATTAATAGTATATACTATTATATGAAAGTCTTTAAGTTTTAAGTTGGAATCCAATAGCGATAAGGAAACTATTGTAGGTAACTAAAATAACAATACAATTATTTTAAAATTGTTCTTTTTTTAATTATAAATAAAATTGTATTTCTTTATAATTATAAGTAAAATGTAATAGCTCGTAAAAATTATTTCTACTCGTTATTCGCTATGGTAACATTATAAATAAAATGTATTGTTAAATACTAAAATGTATCTGACCCACAACGACTTCTACATGCATGATGTGATTCAGTCTTCAAAAAAGGTTGGACGTCCCAGTTTATACATTTTCTTGAATTATATTTGATTAATATTGTACCTATTTTCCCGTTTTGTCCTGGTTTTTACCTTGTTTTTTTCAATATACTTGGGAAACACCTGGAAAAATCAAAAATTGACCTCCCTAAAGTACCACCTCAGTCAGATTCCTTTCAGAAAAGATGCTATACATAATATTATGGAACAAGATTTCTGATGGAATTTTTGTACATAATATAAAAATAAAAAAAATAAATATACATCTTTGTAAATCCATTAAATTCTTTGCAACACTAAAACAAAATTAAAAATAATAAAAGCATTATTATCGTAAATTTTCTTGTTTTTCAACGTTTTTTTTCGGTTTTCCTCAATTATTAAAAAAACTACGGGGAAAATCAAAAAACAACTTTCTTATTCGCCAACTAAATTAAAAATTGAATAAAAAAGGTCTCTTTTCGTTTTTCTATTGGAGCAATATATCTGGTAAAAAAGTAAAAAATAATTTTCAAAAATCTCAATAATAGTTATCAAGTTACATGAATAAATCTAAATATATACCTGCGTTAAAAATAAACGAAAACATATTTTATTTAAACGGTCTTATTTTTTCTATTTTACGAACTTTCCCACAATATTCACGATTTTTACGGAATCTATACAATATACACACAACCAACAGAAATATTCTTCCAAAAGCGACTACAAAAAAAAAAAAAAAAAAAAAACTTAGAGCTCCATAATCTAAAAACACTCGTAAAACCGCGTATAAATCTGGATCCGATTAGGGCCTATAACATCTACAATTTGTGTTTTTATTTTCTTGTGCTAGAGGGACGTATCTCGATTAATAAAATTACAAGAAATACATAGGCCAATGTCGAAAAAATATACATACAGGTACGCCAATCCGGCTTAGGTCTATATTGAAGTAACGTAATTCGAGAAACCGAGTTTGGCTCTTTTTTTTACCCAGGATCCAAAACTATCAATTGCTTCTCGTGTATATTATATAATTATTATAATATACCGTCAAAACTTACCTGATTGGGTTTTCAACGCCATTGCGGACGCCAAAAATAACAATGCCGGTTAAAACAATATAATATTTATAAGTATTATTAGGATTTCCACTGTTTAATGGACACACTGAAACATAATATATTATTATTCGGGGAGAAGGGGGGGAGAAAAAAAAGTTTTTTAAAAAAAAATTAAAATTTACACCGCGGAGTACGTCACACGCTCGCGCGGCTTCAATACTACGCGTTCGAAAATAGCAACAGACACCAGATAACCGCGGGACAGTGTTCGATAAAAATGATCGGACCGACAGAGGCGCGCGCTGGTGACCGTCAATTCGTTTTCACCTATTGCTGACGATATAGTTTATCGCGGGGCGTATTGTACAGATTTCGCAATACGGGTGGGCAGTGTGGACCGAGAAAATAAAATAACATTCAGAAATGTCATTAATGGCGCGAAATTATCAGACAGAAAAAAAAAAAAAACTATGCCGGGCTCGAGTATACGAAATCACGTCGGACTTTTAGACGCAAACGATTCGTTTTGCAAACCCGGGTCGGATATATATTGTATAATACGGTTAACGGGAGTAAAAGTGCGATGCGAAAACGTTTACTTTACGAAATAACAAACATATTTTAGAAACCAATGATTACTAAATAATAATAATAATTTATTATTTTCCAGTGTTTTATGCGTGGCCTGTGTATGGTATACCTAATTTGTATTTATAATTATAATAGTCCGAAAATTAATTCAAAACGAGGTCTGTTGCAATATGATATTATAATTTTGCGGACAATTAGTACGACCAATTAATAATATACAGGTGAATTTACTCGGTGTAATAATACCTATAATATTTCACCGCATTTCAAACTAGCCAAATTCATTTTTCATTCATTTTCGGGCGATTATCATTATTGAAGGGTTGGGATGTTGTGGTGTTTTGCATATTATTTTGGCGATGAGTGCGATAGAAATCCGTTTCGAGTACTGGAGATTAAAAATGCGCTGTTTTTAATTCGGATATTTTGGAGGTTATTGCATATTTTAACACTTCGAAATTTGCTGGTTGTATTATTGACTTTATAATTTGTACAATTTCCTAAAAATTATAATCAATTCATTATTCTATATCCCGATATCCGTCTCGATGAAAGTGTTGACTACTTATCGTCTGCGGCTATTGTTAATTTTTAATAATTCCAATAACAAATTAATCAAATTATTTTTGTATAAATGTTTAAAATAAATTCTTGATTTGGTTCTGTTTCAGAAGACAAAGACAAATGATAGTAATTGATGAACATTACGGTTTTAGTTTTAAATTTATTCGTAATACATATTGTAAGTTGTTTATTTATATGGACATATTTCGTACCTAGTTTATTAGAGCGTGTCACTCGAAATCCTATTTATAAGTACATACAGGTATAACCAGGAGGTTTTAAAAATTTGATTTATATTATTCTTGTGTCGCATCTCGTACAAGCCAATAAATGAAACGAAGATTGTCGGTTTTTTTTTTTTTTTAACCGACCGATGCCATTTCATTATACAAACCAGCTAACCTAAAAATAATATTATTGTCTCTTCTATAATACCGTCTATAATAATTAAAATATTCTATTAATTAGTGTAATTTATTATTTATGTGTTGACTAATAACTATTATATTTACTATATATGTTTTTAGTATGATTTTTTCTCCGCGTTGTAAAACCAAATGACAATCTAGTCCGATTACAATTAAAATAAGGAGCAAGTCATCGGCAATATATTAGAATTTAGTCTGAGACGCAATTCGCTGTAGGTACAGGTGAATATCCTGGTGTACCTACTATACTTGACGATACTTCGATAGTTCGGTTCGGTTGATTATGTTTTAGTCTGAAAACACGTTCAAAATTATTATAATAGTTTACTTTGAACAGTCATCAATTTTTAATTCTCAAACTCTGTAAAATTGGCTTTGCTTATCCATTATTATTCAGGCTAAATTTATTTTCAACTCACAAAACCCAATACCTATAAATATTATATAAAAATATACAAAATTCTAACCTAATGCCTGTAATTTCTGGAGTTCTTAAAGGTGATTAATAATCTCCACTTAATTTGAATCTGTTTATCAATGGTATTAGTTATTATTCTTACTATCGAAAATTCTAAGTTTGCTTTTTGTTAAAGACACAAACATTTTCTAAATCTCTTTAAAACTCTTTAAGATGTTTTATAACTATTTCAAGTAGACTTCAATGATTTCAGTGATTGGTGTATCATTAATGTCATTAACGGTCTCACTATAAATATTGATAAATGTCAAATACCTAATAATTTTTTCAAAACACGTAATCCCATTACTTATAATAATTATTGTTTGTTTAACAAATATTAATCTACTCCGTTCCTCACTATAGAAAATAGTCTTTGATCTTGAAAATGATCTTTGATTCTAAACTTGTATTTAATTGATACATCCCAACGGTTAAAAAAACAACTCTTTCTATATTTAGTATGGTCAATCGTAACTGCTCTGTTAAATTCAATAACCCTATAACTTCTACCCGAGAAACTCAAGAAGAGGCTTCTTCCCTATCTCAATATTTGTTTTCATCACTTAATACACCTAATGCAATAATGCTTATTAATATACTAATTATAGATAAACTAATACGTTTTTAGTACGAAATAATTATTATTGTAGTTAATGTGTTGCATGTAGACGATTTTAAAAAATAACAATAATATTGTATACAAACATAATTACCTACATGTATTATGATGGCAGGCCATTTATTTTAATTGTTTAACACACGTCGTAAGGAAGTTGTATTGAATACCAGCATATTAAAATGGCGTGTTATTGTTTTGAATTTTCATCATAAACAAAATCTCTCGAGTTTCCACGTCAATTTGAACAATTATAGCTAAAATCACTATACTTATACGAATAGTATAGTGACATAGTGTGAAGGTTAGTAGAATAAAAAAAAAAATAGTAATAAAATATTTGGTTAAAAAAGAGTAAACAAATTTGATATTTTTAAACAACAATGGGTTTACTGTATAGGCCAAAATTAAAATGTTAACGATAAATATGACAAGTTAATTTTAATACAATACTGATAAAAATCATAATCTATGTGCCTATCCAATATCAATCATTAAATTGTACAAGTGCAACAGCGTCTTTAAAATGTTTTCATTATTTAAACCCAAAACGGAAAAAGTTCGACATACTTCACAGTTAACTCCACGACTATTTCGCTAAACTGTACGTAGAAAATATACGCATAAATATAATTATATGCAACAGTAAATCATTTCTGACGAAAAACATTTTCCGAGCGAAATTCGGTTACACATGTTTTAACAAGCTTAACTTGAAAATTATATTAATTATAAAATAAATTACGATTTTCCTTCTTAAATTTTCGATTATTTTTATGAAGCCATAAATATTTAACATACACATTATAAATCGGAAAATAGCAGGTACAGTGCGGTGATTTCTAGGTAAATTTTGAAAACGGAAATCTGATTTATAATTATTGAACTATCATCAAAATATGACCGCGAGCAAGATTTCAAATTGATCGGACCACGGGAAGTGGATTAAAAATCGATCACAAGTTTTAAATTTTTTCATCCAGAATAAATTTATGTAAAACATAGTCCAGCTCAAAAATTTCAAATGGGTAATTTTAAATAACTCAAAAATGGTTAGAATTTTTTATACCTCGTTTAGAAAAGGCTAATATCAATATTCTGTGAATATTTCAGGTATCTTTATATTATAATTGTTTCTAACAAATTACAGTATTATCATTATTATCTGATATTTTCGTAAACTTTCGCGTTTTTCCAAAAATTTTAACGGTATTTCCGTTAAATTTCCGGTAAATGTTTGTAAATTTTGTTTAATGATAGAAATAAAAAAAAAAAAAATGTAAAAAGCACATATCAAATTAGTATAGTAAAACCAATGCGTTCTTTCCTATGCTCGGTATCTAATAAAACAATTAAATTTGACTACCTATTATTCATAAATTACTCTACACATATTAATGACCTCAATGAGAATCCATAAAAAAAAATGGTTCTGCTATACAATTCAATCCTATTTTTGTATAATAATAAAATGTATAAAAAATAAAAACAAAAAACGTTGCCGTCATCTAAATATTAGTCAATAATATTTAATATCAATGGAGATCCAAAGTTAAGATCCGAAAAATTGAATTATTATCAACCTATTTCAAACTTTTCTAATAAAATGTTAATTTGTTATTTATGTACAATTTTTCATTATTTTTGCTTTTAATTAGGTCTGTACCAGATGCAGTTTATATTTTAAAATTGAATTGTTCAACGACACAGCTAAGGTACATTAAAAAAACAAACGTATCGGCAATGAAATATATAATATTATTATTGTAGACAGTACACGATAAACAAATACAATTTAAAACCTTGTATTTACAATTATTAAGTAGAAAATTTAAATACATAATTACATAATTGTATCATAATCATTGTATCACCAATTTGTATACATACTTGAATTTAATACCAACAGTTCTTTTTCGTCTGTATCACGCAATGAAATAATTTCTTCAATAATGCGATACGAGTGATGACGGATTTAAAAAATTATTATCGGTATATAGACAGATTGTAGAATCTGTCGTATAATTTTATTGAAATTACCAAACACGTTATAATATACGCGTAGGTTGCGCAATTTAGTTTTGTTTCTTCTTGTTCGATTCGTACGAATCTATGTTGTGCAAGTTTGTTCATTATACGCTAATATGGAAAATAAGTGTTTAAAAATAATAGCATATTCAATTTCTTGCATGCCCTTCGTTGGAATTCGCATATATATGACGAGTTAATATTTGTTTTGTTCCTATATGATGTGTCTATACACATATAGGTAGGTAACACGCGTCATTCTTATTTCTAATATTTATACTGTATCGCACAAAAAATTAATTAAATGTAATAAATAAATAAACAAATTGTGTTTTTTTTATCATAATATAAATGACGGGTGTCTTATCATAGTCCAGTAACACGAACGCACGCAATTATAATATTTACTGTAGGACCGTGCCCTGCAATAGTAATTTTTAGCAGTAAATTGTCCACAATAATAATAGCACACGCTCCGATAATTGTTTTATAACTGTAAAAAAACAGGTTTGGTGCCTACTTAAAGTTAAAACGGTACACGTACAGTCAACAGTCATCAAACGAATTATAGACCATCGGTGTTTTACGTAATCA